CGTTCAGATTATTTCCTCTGCTATCTGCAGAAGCCTTAATCCAGCACGTGTTTAAAGTATCTGCAGCTATTAATAAATCTATTCATCTGTGTCTTTTTTTCTGAGGAAGCTTGAAAAAAATTAGCTGCTTTAAAGAGGTGCTGCTTCACACCCCTTGCATTCTGAAGACAATCTTCTGATCATTTTTGAAGAATGCATAGTCCTACTTGCTGATCAGATGATCTGCCACTTTGGCTGTCTAAGCATTAGCGCATGCACACTGAATTAAAAAAAGCAAAACGCCTAGAAGCCAGCAGATTCATTTTTTGCAAACAAATAAGAGATTTCCATAAATCCTGCCTCCCATCCAAATTATTTTACTCTGTGTTCACGGAGGTGATTAATTTAATTAACCTGACAATATATATCCCCCTAAAAAATCATAACATGCTGAGGAACGAGCAAAAATTCACTAGCAACTTCACTGTATTTAAAACGTAATAATTCAGTATTTAAATTTATTTAAAACATAATAACCTAAGCATAAATGCATATATTCAGTGTTTCCAATCAGATGTATCTTCAAATATAATTTTCAATAGATGTATCATGATTGACATCCTGCTTCAAATATTATTAGTTCCATCAGGAAGGCAGAAAACGTTATGAGCCATATATTGGTAGAATGTACGACTTCCTGCCAAATGTGCTGCATAGACAATAGGGAGAAATTAATTTTGGTTTGCCTTTTTGAGATGAATGTACTCAGTTTCCCTTTCTCAAATCTATATGCAGGTTAGCAAGCTAATTTGATATATATATAACTCACATTTTCTCTATATAATAATCAAGCAGCTATTGCCGCTGCTAAAGGCAATCACATTCAAGTGTTCCATCTTACAAACCTTATGTGACCTCATAGCATTCAGGATCCTCCCAAAATACAGTACTTTGCAACTTAAAACCAAGAGAAAGACAGTGTCCTTTCACCTGCAAAAGTTAACTGCTAAACTGTTAAATTTTACAGATTCTGCCACACTTGAGGTCAACAGGCCAGTCAAAGGATGAAGACAGACTACAGACAGTCCTCAACTTATGACGACAATTGGGATCAGAATTTCTGTTGCTAAGCAAGGGGATGTTAAATGAATTGCACCTGATTTTAGGGCTTTTTATTGCCATGGTTTTTAAGTGCAATCACTGCAGTTGGACAAAACAATTAATCAGTGGAACCTCTTGCCTCCAGAAGTTGTGGGTACTCCATCATTGGAGGTTCTTAAGAAGACATTGACAGCCACTTGTCTGAAGTCAAGTCAAGTCAAGTTTGAAGTCAAGGAGCTGCTGATACAGTTCTACAGAGGAATTATTGAGTCTGTCATCTGCACCTCTATAACTGTCTGGTTTGGTTCTGAAACCCAACAAGACAAACACAGACTTCAGAGGATAATTAGAAGTGCAGAAAAAAACAATTACTACCAACCTGCCTTCCATTGAGGACTTGTGTAATGCACGAGTCAAAAAGAGGACTGTGAAAATATCTACAGACCCCTCGCATCCTGGACATAAACTGTTTCAACTCCTACCCTCAAAACGATGCTATAGAGCACTGCACATCAGGACAACTAGACACAAGAACAGTTTTTTCCCAAATGTCATCACTCTGCTAAACAAATAATTCCCCCAACACTGTCAAACTATTCACTAAGGCTGCATTACTATTACTATTAGTCTTCTCATCGTTCCTATCACCCATCTCCTCCCACTTATGACTGCATGACTGTAACTTTGTTGATTGTTTCCTAGTATGATTTGATTGCTTATTTGTACCCTATGACTATCATTAAGTGTTACCTTATGATTCTTGACGAATGTATCTTGTCTCTTTATGTACACTGAGAGCATAGGCACCAAGACAAATTCTTGGTGTGTCCAATCACACTTGGCCAATAAAAAATTCTATTCTATTCTAAATGGTACAAGGTCTTCTGCTTGAGCAGGGGATTTGACTAGAAGACTTCCAAGGTTCTTCCCAACTCTTATTATTCTGTTAAGTGAATCATGTTGTTCTTAAGAAAATCCAGCTCCCTTCTTTCATTTTGCTTGTCGGAAGCCAGTTAGGAAGGTCACAGATGGAGATCACATGACCCCAGGATTCTGAAACTATCATAAAGAGCCATGGTGGCACAGTGGTTAGAATGCAATACTGCAGGTCTAACTCACTGCTCAGCAATTCGATCCTGACCGACTCAAGGTTGACTCAAGGACTCCATCCTTCCAAAGCCGGTAAAATGAGGACCCAGATTCTTGAGGGCAATATGCTGACTCTGTAAACAACTTAGAAAGGGCTGTGAAACACTATGAAGTGGTATGTAAGTCTAAGTGCTATTGCCCTTCCTTCCTTCCTTCCTTCCTTCCTTCCTTCCTTCCTTCCTTCCTTCTTCCTTCCTTCCTTCCTTCCTTCCTTCCTTCCTTCCTTCCTTCCTTCCTTCCTTCCTTCCTTCTTTCCTAGCTGTGGTGGTGCAATGCTTAGAATGCAGTATTGCAGGCTCATTTTGCTGACTGCCAGCAGTTCAATTCTCACTGGCTCCAGCTTGTCTCAGCCTTCCATCCTTCCGAGGTCGGTAAAATGAGGAGCCAGATTCTTGGGGGCAATATGCTGACTCTGTAAACTGCTTAGAGTGGGCTGTAAAGCACTATGAAGCGGTATATAAGTCTAAGTGCTTTTGCTATAAATACAAGCGCCCAAATTTTGAACACATGACAATGAAGATGCTGCAATGATAGTAAATCCGAGGACTCAAGACACTTTTTTTGAATGTTGTTATAACTTTGAATGGTCATTAAACAAAGGGCGGTAAGTTGGGGACTACCTGTCTATAGCATATGTGCATCTCTATTCCCCAGACAGAGAATAAAATGGGCATCCCTGCTGTCATCCAATAATTTCTACTACTTCAGGTAGCTGCCTCAATCTGCCTAATGATAAGACCAGCCCTGTTAAAGTGTTAATTCTGTCAATGATGGCAAAGGACCTAAAAGAATAACAGCTAAGGTTGTCCCAAAGGAGCTTTTTTTCAAGAGGCAACTGGACTTTCTGGTTTTTCTTTGAAGACATTTCACTTCTCATCCAAGAAGCTTCTTCAGCTTCCAACTGGATGGTGGGGAATGGAAGGATTTATAAGGACATATCCATAGACTTACAGACGAGAAGCGAAACATCTTCAAAAAAAAACAAGAAAGTCCGGTTGCCTCTAGAAAAAAGCACTTTTGGGACAAACATGACCCAGATGACTGAGAATCTCCGTAGACGTAAGAGCTGAATCAAATAACATTCAATTTGACTTTTAGAGAGAGAAAAAAAACAGCCAAATCAGTCCTCAGAAGAGAAAATTATCATCAAGGTCGATTTCACTGATGTGGCAATATCAAGAGGTAATCAAACTGAGGAAAAATCACCAGAGGAAGAAACAAAATACTAAGATTTACAAACTGAGGTAGAAAAATTATGGCGGCGGGGGGGAAACCAGTTGTCACATTGATTGAAATGGGAGCTTTTGATGCAATGACAAAGTTGCCAAACATTAGGAATTTTAAACTTACTGGTCTTGGCCCCATTGCATTCCCACTCATGCCAGTAATACTATTACTAAATATGCCGATGATACACAGTGGTGGGTTGTCCCCGGTTCGCACCGGTTCTATAGAACCGGTAGTAAAACTGGTGGGAGGCTCCGCCCACCAACCCTGTCATTGAAACGCTTCTGCACATGTGCAGAAGCTTCTGCGCTTGCATAGAAGAGCGGCCCCGCTGCGAACCGGTAGTAAAGGTAAGTAGAACCCACCTCTGATGATACAACAGTGGTGGGACTCATCTGGAGGGGGGAGGGATGAGTCTGCCTATCAAAATGAGGTGGACTGGTTGCTTTCCTGGTGTGGAGCAATAACTTTGGACCTTAACACCAATAAGACCAAGGATCTTATAGTGGACTATAGAAGGAATAGATCAGACATCCAGCCCTTGCTTATCAATGGAGACTGAGTGGAGCAAGTGGCCAGTTTTAAGTTTCTGGGTGTTATCATAAAAGAGGACCTGACCTGGGGCGCTCACATTGCAGCACTGGTCAAAAGGGCCCAGCAGAGATTAAACTACTTGAGACTTCTCAGGAAACAACAACTGGATGAGAAACCGCTGGTGACCTTCAACTGCTGCACCATAGAGAATATTTTAACCTACTGCACCTGTGCATGGTTTCCCAACTGCACAGTGGCAGATAGGACAGCGCTCCAGAGGGTCAACGTCATTGCCCAGAGGATCATTGGTTGCCTCTCCCCTCTTTGGAAGAGCTTTATAGCTCCCACAGCCTCAAGAAAGTTCAAAACATTCTTAAAGATCCATCTCATCCTGGGCACCCCTTTTTTTTTAACTATTACCATCTGGCAGACGGTACAGGATAATAAAAACAAGGACAAATAGGCTGAAAAACAGCTTCTATCCCAGGGCAATAACCATATTGAATTCTACTGCATATTGCAATATTAATGCAGCATCAGGGGTTTTCAATTCAATTGTGTAGAATGTGAAGGACGTGTGTTTCCATTTTATTTTTTTTTATAGTTTTCGTATGTACGATGTACACTGAAGATGGCATTTAATTTCGTTGTACGAAGTGCAATGACAATAAAGTAAACCTATCGCTTGATTTTGCAAAACATGACTAGAGCCGAAATCGTTGTAATTGTCACCCGGTTCATTACACCGTCAAATTCATTTAGAAGAAGGGAGGAAGAGGAGAAGGAGAAGGGCTCTGTTTTAATGATCAACAGTTGTCGTGCCTGCAGATCCCTCCTTTCAGACAGTGAGATTTACAAAATGTCCATCTGGCCTCTGATTGACCAAAGGTTTGCTGTCCCTTGAATGCACTTCCATAAGCCCACCTGTTGTAGCTCTGTTCTTCTAGGCCAGCAGAGCTCTGGATGTGTTAAAGGACCAATCATTGTAATCCCCACCCATCATCACCCACACAAAAGCAAATCAGAAGATGTTGGTTGTGATGGGTGAGTTCCTTCTGCTTTTGCCTTAGCAGAAAACCTTCTGCATCTCTTCTGAGAGAGAGATTGCTTTTCCCAGACGCTCCAACCTTGAGAGCTGTAGAGAGCTTAACCATGAAGGCCGCTTTGCTCCTTGGTGTCATTCTCTTGATGAGCCTGGTTATGGCTAATGATCAAAGTAAATCTGAAGAAAAGACTGAATCTGGAGCTAAAGTTGAATCGGTGAGTTGAATTAGAATCTTTGGTTATTTCAAACAGCAGGGTTTTATTGGAGGAAATATGTGTTTGGGAACTGGGTACAGGTTTTCAAAGAGGGATATATTTCTGAGATGTTCTACTAAACATGGAAGAACTAATTTCTAAGTAATTTCTAAGACTTCAATGGTTTATGCTTCATATTGGTATTAGTGGGTTTCTACTAAGAATGAAATTTCCCTAAGTTATATAGATCTTACTTGCTGATTGTATGTATGTAGGTATGTATGTAGGTATGTATGTATGTACCATGTTTCCCCAAAAATAAGACCTGGTCTTATATTATTTTTTGCTCCAAAAGATGCATTAAGCCTTATTTTCTGGTTATGTCTTATTTTGGGGGAAATATACTATTTGCGTCTTTCTGGCTGATGATTTTAACTGGGGCTTATTTTGGGGGTAGGGATTATATTACGAGCATCCTGAAAAATCATGCTAGGGCTTATTTTCTGGTTGGGTCTTATTTTCAGGGAAACAGGGTATGTAATTGAAAGCGCCTTGGTAGTACAGGGGTTTAAGGCACCCTGTTATTAAGCTGGTTATTAAGACCAGCTGCCTGCAATTACTGCAGGGTTCAAATCTCGCCAAGGCTCAAGGTTGACTCAGCCTTCCATCCTTTCTAAGGTAGGTAAATTGAGGACCCAGTTGTGGGGGCAATAAGCTGACTTTGTATAAATATACAAAAGGATGAAGGCTATTGCTGAGCACATTGTAAGCCGCCCTGAGTCTTCGGAGAAGGGCGGCATATAAATCAAATAAAAAAAAAAAAAGGGCATGTACTTCAAAACTGATTTTAGAGAACATTGGCATCCAAGCTGTTTGTAACCCCAAGCAGCCTTTCTAACACATGCTGCATTGTGATTTCTACTGACATAATTGTATTTTTATTTAAGACTGGGTAGATGATAGATGGATAGAATGAATGATAGATGGATGGGATGTATAGATGGATGGGATGTATAGATAGATGATAGATAGATAGATAGATAGATAGATAGATAGATAGATAGATAGATAGATAGATAGATAGAAAGAAAGATACCAACCTGTCTACCATCCTATTGTGATTGCTAGTTGGCCATTGAAAACTCCTTCTATTTCTGTATCTTTCAGGGGAAAACCTGTTCAAAGTTTGTAGATAAAATAGCATAATCCTCTGAAGCATACTATAAATAAGGTGATCCTTATTTATAAGGATCAAAGATAATGACCACAGTCAGTTGGCAAAAATTGGCATCGCTTCATTCCAGTTTCCAGAGGGAATCCTGTTAAAATTTTGCAAGTGCCTCAAATTGTATTCTCCCATTTGAACTATTCTCCCTTCTTTTTTCCCCAACTTTTCTGCTCCTCCTTCCTCTTTTCTATGTCTGTTCTCCATGGGTTGATTGGAGCATCCTCCCTAGTGGGTTTTTACAAGCAGACTATACCAACCAGGGCTTCCTTTTTGGGCATCAGAAACCTACGCTACAGCATGGTTTTTTCCTCTCTATTTCTTTGCTGCCATCTGGTGGCCATTCCAACTTTTGGATGCTTAGTCCAGTCCAGTAAAGTTACTTGGCAATTATTTTGACTTAACTGAGCACAAATTCATCTGTCTACCTGCTGGGGTCAACCTTTGGTTTTTTTTGTTTTTTTTTGCTTTAATTTATATGCCACCCTTCTCCGGAGACTCAGGGCGGCTTACAATGCGTTAAGCAATAGCCTTCATACTTTTGTATATTTTATACAAAGTCAGTTTATTGCCCCCACAATCTGGGTCCTCATTTCACCTACCTTTGAAAGGATGGAAGGCTGAGTCAACCTTGAGCCTGGTGAGATTTGAACTTGCAGAAATTGCAAGCAGCAGATGTTAATAACAGTGCTTTAGTCCACTGTACTACAGGCTCTTCTGTAGTAAAAATAATTAAAATAATGTATGCCATATGGATTACTAAGAGAACCAGGTTTCTTCCTCTTTTTTTCTGCCTTAACGTATCTCATAAAAACAGCAGCCGTGATGCTTTGTATTCTGTCTGCCCAAACATACACAGTTCCTTTTCGGCACATATATTTATGTAGAATACATGGCATTTAGCAGAGAACACTGGAGGGCTTACCCAAGCCATGATGACTTACTCTCTCCTCGTTGCTTATAAAGGAATATTTACCATTATCTTAACCAACTTTCAAAGCAGGCTGCTTTGGAGCCAAATCATCCTCTGACGACATAATAACAGGCTGTTTCCAGAGATGGTCATACTTTAAGAGTTAGAAACTTAGCTGACAGCAATTAAATTCTAGGAAACTCATCCTGACTCAAAATTCATTTCTTACAAAAACTCAAACAAAATTTCTTTCTAGTGCGCTGCTTTTCCAGCAATTAAATTCAGCATCTTGGAAAGCAATATGTCTTCATAATTATTTTATTTAAACAATGTGCTGTGGTCCTTAAAAAAAAACCATCACATTGGCTGTGTTCCTGTAACACGTAGCCAAACACATTATCTTATAGTGGTGACTGTAATGAGATCATTTGGGTTTGATTAAGCTGTAGTAATTTATAAAATATGAATCCTGGTTTACAACCCTAAGACTGAAGAAGGAATGGGGTATTCATGAGCAATAAATTGAAATGAAAAGGATCTATTTGCTATTATTTTAGATACATACCTATATATGGTATGATTTGCCTTTCACTTTTGGAGAGGAACAAGAAGTAACCCCATTGTCTTCATTAACTTTCAGTTCCCCAGGTTTAACCCGCTAGATGATGCACAGAAAAAACACTCATTTCCTCACAGCAAGTGTCACTTAATAATTTATTCAATGACTCATTTGACCTCAATCTGCAATTTCTTCAGTTTTATTCTAAATGTTCAAGATTTGTTGTATGCAATGCCTGCATTTTTTAAAACATTATGTTTACGCACACTGCAACTACTGTCATTTTAAAAATTATTTAATCTGGTGGTTCCTATTCCATTCCATTCTTCCATTTTATAACTGAAGTGTGGTGTGCACATACACCATCCCCCCGCCCTTATTCAGCCATATCCAATTCTCAGGCTATCTGGACAGATCCCTGCAGTTTTCTTTGCAAGGATTTTCAGACGTGGTTCCTGGGTTCCTAGAGAATGTGACTGGCTGCCCTTATGCCTAAGGCTGGACTACCACTCACCATCTCCCAGTTTCTACTGGTAGCCTGGTAGTTTAATTACTACTCCAAACTAGTTTGTCACACATTCTTCATTTAATTTCATTAAATTAAATTTCAGGTGGAAGGCTAATTTGACCAAACAAGCAGGCTTCACATGCTTTGCTTTTCCCTTCATTTTATTTTATTTATTATTTATTATTAAATTTATTTTATTTATTTATTTATTATTAAAATGCCATTTTATTTTAGCTCTCTGACTTGTCTTGATTCCATTAAAGAAAAAAATAGAGATCGGAACACATCAGGGCACTAAAGGCAGTGGTGGGATTCAGCCACTTCTCACCACTTCGGGAGAACCGGTTGTTAACTTTCTGAGCAGTTTGGTGAACTGGTTGTTGGAAGAAAGCATTAGGGCAGAGAACCGGTTGTTAAATTATTTGAATCCCACCACTGACTAAAGGCATCGGAGAATCCCGTGTAAGGTGAATGTTTCTGTCCTCTGCCCTGCCTAATAGCAGTGTTCCAATATTTGAGGGGCTGCCACAAAGAAGAGCGGGATCAACCCATTCTCCAAAGCATCTGAAGGCAAGACAAGAAACAATGGGTGTCACCAAGGAGAGAAGCAACCTAGGAGGTATTTCCTGACAGTTAGAACAATTAATCAGTGGAACTGCTTGGATGGAACTGCTTGGATGGAGTCTAATCAAGGAGAGAAAGAACCCGGAATTAAGGAGAAACTTACTAACAGTGAGGACAATTAATCAGTGGAACAGCTTGCCTTCATAAAATCATGGGCACTCTACCACTGGAGGTTTTTAAGAAGAGACTAGACAGTCACTTATCTGAAATAGTATAGGTTCTCCTGCTTGAGGAGGGGTTGGACTAGAAGACCCCTTCCAAGGTCCCTTCCAGCGCTATTCTATTCTATTCTATGCTATTCTATTCAGTTGATTAATTTTCCTTTAGAATCAGCTAAGCACAGCAGCCATGATTAATGTTGTTTTTTTCTTTTTTGTACAATAAGATGTGTTTACTGGGTTCTTCAAAAAAACAACAACAACAAATCATTTGGTATGAGGATAGCAGAAGCAAATGCCATTGCTGTTATTGCTAAGCTAAAAATTAGAAAGTCAGCACGCTTGCAGTATCTAATTTACAGTAGAGTATCAAGATTACCATAGTTATGTTGTATTTCACCCTTAAAAAATGGGAAGGAAGGAACAGGTGCAGGCCAACTTTCCTCAAGATTTGATCTTCCAGACCTGCTAAATTTTACCAACATGATCAAACGCTACTATTCTGGGCGTTAAATTTAATCAACGCAGCATTCTCCGACGTTGGTAAAGCATGGCATGATCACGGAGCAGATAAATGTTACTTCTGTACAAATAAACCAATTCATATTGCTGCCCAAAAGGAGGCATTTATAAAGCTATAAAAAGGGACGCGGTGGCTCAGTGGCTAAGCTATGCTGAGCTTGTCGATAGAAAGGTCGGCAGTTCAGCGGTTCGAATCCCTAGCGCCATGTAATGGGGTGAGCTCCCGTTCCTTGTCCCAGCTTCTGCCAACCGAGCAGTTCAAAAGCACGTAAAAAATGCAAGTAGAAAAATAAGGACCAGCTTTGGTGGGAAGGTAACAGTGTTCTGTGCGCCTTTGGCGTTTAGTCATGCCGGCCACATGACCACGGAGACGTCTTGGGACAGCACTGGCTCTTCAGCTTTGAAATGGAGAAGAGCACCACCCCCTAGAGTTGGGAACGACTAGCACATATGTGCGAGGGGAACCTTTACCTTTACTTTTAAAACTTAGCTGGTCTGCTGCATTACACCAAATGTTGCTTATTTTTAAAAATCATCATTATCATCATTATTATTATATTTATGTTGCTCTGGATTACTGCCAAACAGCCTTATAAAGTACATTAGGTTGAATCCAAAACCCAACACAACAGAAGAGATAATTCTAAGATTTTCATGGACCATCTGACTGATGATTTGATTGTGGACCACTTACCCTATAACACTTGAATTGAGTCCAAATCTAAAACTTCCGAGCATTAAATCATATATATGCTCACAACGAAGATTATACAATCTATTAAAGTTTGGCCAACTTCTTTAGAATTCAGGTACAATTGTGCAGCCTTCTGAGAGGCTGAGAGGCTAGATACCTCTTGCTCTCTCGAAATGTCATTGATTTCAGCATGGTCTGAGATTTCAGTATTTCTTTTTTATCTAAGAACTTTATTTTAACATTTTAGAGAATGTCTGCTCAGATTAATTCAAAATTTGAACCTAACTAATTCTACCGTTCTAGGTTTGGGGTGACATTCGTTTCCTCGGAGATACATGTCTTAAAACATTGCTTTCAGCTTTTTCTGCATTTCCTTTTCTGTGCACTAAAATAAGATGCAGGAGCAGGCACTCTTTAGGCAGGAAGAGGAAACCATAATTTTGTAAGTGCAGCCAACAGGTTTCTTCAAGTTCTAATTTGTCCGTTGCAATGGTTGCATTGGTTTAACTGATAACTTGAACAACTGGTGCCAGGATCTGGGCAAGGTGGAACACAACACATTATGAAAGTATAAACAGAAATTTAATTAACCCTTGGAACACAATGAGACAAAGTTAGGAGGTCTGTGGACGAGCAAGTCATGGAGACAATGGGGACAAAGGATGTCTTACGCAGGCATTCCCTGTGCAGCTTCTAACCAAAATTCTTCCCAAAGGAATCATGCGTGTTTTCAGGTTCCAGTTAAGATTCATGGAGTCATTTGACCCAGGGAGAGGGTGATTCACAACAATCTGCTTTTTCCACAATTTTTCCCATGTATCTACCTGCTTTGAAGATCTTTATGTATTTTCTAGATACAGTGAGATTTGGAGAGTTTGAAGCACAGGGAGTTTTGAAGCCAGAATGCATTTAGATGTTCTTTTTCAGACCTTTCTTAAAATGCGAAATGAACTCTTGAGTTGAGTGGCACACCCTCTTCCTCTTTGTGATTTGGATCTATCTGTCCTGCAGTCAGCATCCGCCTAGATTTTTCGCTTTAATGGAGTGGCTTAAAGGGAACCCTAAAAGATATCCTTTCCATATACAGTGGTACCTCGATACCAGAGATGGGTTTCAGCAGGTTCTGACCGGTTCTGGAGAACCGGTAGCGGAAATTTTGAGTAGTTCAGAGAAGCGGTAGTAACAATTCTGACTGGCCCCGCCCACATCTATTCTCTGCCTCCCGAGTCCCAGCTGATCGGGAGGAAATGGGGATTTTGCAGTAACTTTCTCCTGGAGTAGGGAGGGAATGGAGATTTTACAGTATCCTTCCCCTGCCATGCCCACCAAGCCACGCCCACAGAACCAGTAGTAAAAAAATTTGAAACCCACCACTGCTCGATACTCCTACCTAATTGGTTCCGGGATGAGTACCAAAAACAATGAGTACCAAACAATTTTTCCCCCATAAGGAATAATGTCATGAGTCACAAGGCAGCCGACACTGACATGTGCTAGCTTGTGCATTGACTTCCAAACAAACGCTGAATATCAGGACAAAATTTTCTTGTCAAAATGCATTGAGTACCAAACGTGATGAGTTTCAAAGCAGTTGAGTACCAAGGTATCACTGTATCTCCTATTAAAATTTCTTTTCTGGTTTTTTTTTAATGCCTTTGCTTCTCCAATCATATTAGAATATTATAGGTATTGCTAGGAGGGGAGGAGGAACAGATGTTAACGATATTTCGGAATAAATGTTCCGTGTTCTTCTATTTTGCATACGTTGTTATTTATTTCGTTGTTATTTTTATTTTTTAAATTTTGCATGCCTCCCATCTCACTTTCCAAAGCTACTCTGAATGGTCTGAAGATCTTACCTCTCTACCCTGATGGGATACATAGATGTCAAAATCATGTATATATACAGGACAAATACATATTCCAGCTCTGTGAAAGGGGACACGTGTCAGTGAATAAAATAATTGTTAAGTGTTCAGGTTTCTGCATGCCCTATTTGACCCAATATAAAACATCTTTCTCAATTTCTCTTTCAGCAAAACAGGACAGGTATTCTTACTAAGTCTACTGGCATAATGGTGTCTGAGAGCCCAGTCTTCTTTTTGTTGCCACTGATGTGGATGGTGATCCATCTTCTTCATATTTAATGAACCTGAAGCTTCACTTTTCAGGAGAACATGAAGGTCCATCAGTCCTACCCAAGTTTAAGAAAGGGAGCTCCTTTCCATTCCTAACAGCTTAATAGTCCAGCCGGCTTCCTGCTCTTGCTGCAATATTAGTCCAACATGTTGGACTATCCATGATTTCACTGCATCGGCCAACTAAACAGGGAAATGAAAAGAAAGCCAGGGAAATATCTGATGTCAATCCTCAAGTGCATGCATTTGTTTGCAATATGACTGTCACTGTTCAGAGGAAATCTGGCATAAGAGGAGTTATGAAATATCTCAGACGCCTCTTCTGCTCCTGAGAGAGATAATCCAGATCATACTTTCCTTACAATATCCTTTTGCAGAGCTGTCTAAAGATGGACATTAGCCACAGATGCCTGTAATCATGTCTCATCCATTATGGTGTCCATCCTACTGATGCTCTTTTATATTTGGTCTCCCAAGCAACGATGATGTCACCTCTGGAGAAACGATTATATCTTTTCCCATGAATCTGCCTTGTGAGAATCCTTCTCTTGTCTCAAAGAAAGAAGTAACTCCTCTACCCAGAAGGCTTCATCTTGATGAGCTTCATCACTTCAAGATAAGAATACCAGTTGTTGTACAGTAAAGCAACATTTAGCGTGGTGGTTCCACCAGATTATCCTTTTTTAACAGGACAGGAGAGGACAATTGTTCATCAGACTGGAAGTAACGAAACATACAGAATGTCTTTGATTGTAACTGCATCTGCCTATGTGTGAAATGTAATTAGGTTTTTTTGCATTTGCCCATTTACAGAAAACAGCCCAAAGTTAAAATAATAACACAAGATACAAGTTTGTTTTATAAATTGGTTGCTGTTACCTTCTGTAATATACGTGCAGGTTGATTTCAATAAAAGCTTTTTGGCTAGCTGGCAATTTTGTCTTTTTTAATTGTCTGGGCTATTTAAGAAAATCCTCCAAGGCAAGGTTGCTGGGTTAGCTTTACAGAAGAGCAAAATAATGGCGAATTCTTTGAAGAGAGTAGTGCAAAGACGGGGATGATGGATTTCATTGCATATATATATATCAGTCTGATCTCACCTTATAAAACTCAATTTCTAAATTCTTTGGGCAACTCATAGGGACATAAAAAGATTTGGCTGAGTAGAAAGAGACTACTATGTCCTATCACTTGGACCAGTGGTAGAATTAAAAAAAAAATATTACTGGTTCTGTGGGCGTGGCTTGGTGGACATGGTGTGGCTTGGTGGACATGGCTTGGCGGGCATGGCAGGGGAAGGACACTGCAAAATCTCCATTCCCACCCCACTCCTGGGGGAAGGATACTGCAAAATCCCCATTTCCCACCCCACTCCAGGAGGATACTGCAAAATCCCCATTCCCTCCCCACTCCTGGGGAAGGATACTGCAAAATCTCCATTCCCACCCTACTCCAGGGGAAGGATACTGCAAATCCCCATTCCCTCCCCACTCACTCCTGGGGGAAGGATATTGTAAAATCTCCATTCCCACCCCACTCTGGGGCCAGTCAGAGGTGGTATTTGCCAGTTCTCCAAACTACTCAAAATTTCTGCTACTGGTTCTCCAGAACCTGTCAGAACCTGCTGGATTTCACGCCTGACTTGGACTCTATAGTCCCCTATAGTATTTACCTTATTTAAGCAGCTATGTCTCCATTGGCTCACATTAAGCCTGTGGTTTACTTTTTCATCTTTGGCAAGTTTAAAATGTGTGGACTCACAGCAAAGCAAAGCTGGCTGGGGAATTCTGGGATTTGAAGTCCACACATCTTGCTAAGGTTGAGAAACACTGGTTAAACACCAAGATCTTTTTCATGTATGAACTAGACCTCTCTTCCCCTTCCTATATTTTTTCACCCCTTCTTCTTCTTGTGCCATATCTGTCATGGAACGTTGGCGATCATGCTGGTGATTTTTCAACCCAGAAGCAGAATTTCATATATTTTTTCCTGCTAAATTTTATCTTGTTGTTTTTATGGGCCATTCTGGGTCTTTCTGAATATTCTCTTTCTCTTCCAAAGTGTTGCTCTTTCCTCTTCGTTTTATAACATCAGCAAGTCTGATAACCATTTCCTCAACTCCTTCATCCAGGCCGTTAATAAAAATGTGCCCGTTGTGTCATTTCATTCAATACTGCTCTTCAAGCTGATGTGGAGTTATTTATTAAGTATGCATAAAACCAGTATACATAAAAAGTAAGTATACATAAATGAATCCATTGGGATGGCGGTCATCCTTGCAAGCATTAATACAATTAATACAATTGAGCAAGTCCAGAGGTATTTCACGAGAAGAGTCCTCCACTCCTCTGCTCACAACAGAATCCCTTATGCCATCAGGCTTGAAATTTTGGGATTAGACAGTTTAGAACTATGCTGCCTTCGGTCTGACCTAAGCGTAGTACACAAAATTATCTGCTACAACGTCCTACCTGTCAATGGCTACTTCAGCTTCAACCACAATAATACACGAGCACACAATAGATACAAACTCAAGGTAAACCGCTCCAAACTCGATTGCAGGAAATACGACTTCAGCAACAGAGCGGTCAATGCCTGGAATGCACTACCTGACTCTGTGGTTACTTCCCCAAACCCCCATAGCTTTAGCCTCCGACTGTCTACTGTTGACCTCACCCAGTGGGTTTCAAATCCCATCGCTACTAGTTTGCTTGTGGGCGCTCGTGCGCTCGTGCATGTGCGCAACACTTCTGCGCATGCACAGAGACATCTGGGCGGGTGGGCAGAGCTTCCCGCTTCCGCCACTACCAGTTGGCCTGATCCGAGGCGAACCAGTAGCAACACACCACTGAACTCACCCCATTCCTAAGAGGTCTGTAAGGGGCGTGCATAAGCGCACCTACTTGCCTAACCATCCCTGTCCCAATGTCCCATTTATTTGTATCCTTATCCTGTATTCATAATCATATTTATACTTATATCTGTTATCTTACACGTGTTTGACAAATAAATAAAATAATTAAATAAAAAAGCAGAGAGTCCTGCAGTGTGCAAGCCCTTTTAGCAATTCTTTGCAAAGGAAAGGAGCCTGGATAGCTCTGCAGACTAAAAGCACTGAAATTTAACACCAGCTGTCTGCAATTAAAGTAAGTTCAAATCTCACCAGGCTCAAGGTTGACTCAGCCTTCCATCCTTTCTAAGGTAGGTAAATTGAGGACCCAGTTTGTGGGGGCAATAAGCTGACTTTGTATAAAATATACAAAAGTATGAAGGCTATTGCTTAACGCATTGTAAGCCGCCCTAAGTCTCCGGAGAAGGGCGGCATATAAATCAAATTAAAAAAAAAAAAAAAAAAAGGCCCTGCCTGCTTTTCAGCTCCAGACAGAAGGATTTGCAGAGTCTCCTTCCGCCATTTTGTTTTTATTTCTATTTGTAGATCCAAGCAATTCCTTAGTCTCTATTTCAATGGTGTTCAAGCTCTTTTTTTTTTAGCAATTCTTTCATGCAAAATTGCTGCTTGCCTTTTCAGGACACATGTTTATATTTATTTGTATTTGTAGTATTAGCAGTATTTTTTGTATTTGTATTTGTCAGGCATTTATCTGGAATAGCATAGGGTCCCCTGCCTGAGCGGGGGGTTTGACGAGAAGACCTCCAAGGGCCCTTCCAGCTCTACGTTCTATTAGAACTCAAAGAGGGGGTCAATATTTCTTCTCCTCCAGTCTTCCAAGACTTCACCAATTTCTGGAGACAGCCTTGTATCCTAATATTTAATTTGTATATATGTCTTTGGACTCACTGTCCAAAAAAAAAAGACTCACTGGAGAAGAGCCTAATGCTGGGAACGATTGAGGGCAAGAGAAGAAGGGGACGACAGAGAACGAGGTAGCTGGATGGAGTCACTGAAGCAGTCGGCATGAGCTTAAATGGACTCCAGAGGATGGTAGAGGACAGGAAGGCCTGGAGGAATGTTGTCCATGGGGTCGTGATGGGTCGGACACGACTTCGCAACTAACAACAACAACGAATGTCCTCGGAGGCACCCTGATTAGCTATTTTACATTTTCAGGAGACTGGCGTATCCCACTAACAATAAAAACGCAATCCAGAAATTAATGTTATTTCAGATTTTAGCCCGAAACATGTCACTATTGTTAACACAAATTTGCTTCGCCTTTTTTTTCCCACCTAATTTATTGACTGTGTTCCTACTTAAGTAGGCAAAAAAAAAAACACAATGCTATTGTGAGGTGTGGGGTTTTTTGCAAACGTTCTGCAGCTTCTGAGGGTGTCAAGATGAATTAGAACACCTGCTCATTTCACAGAGCCTCCTCACTCCTAGTGACAGCCGCAAAGCCTACATCGCTGGTAATCTTACACCCACCGGAGCTGAATAATGCACCATTCAGGAAGTGGGTAATTTTTCTATCTTCAGATTTTATCACCACCGATTCATGGAGACAGCACCGAGAGGGGAAGGGAGTGCATTCAACCCGCTTGTTTTGTGACTGTGTGTGTACATGGGTCTCTGGTGCTGATTTCTTAGGTTGGAGACAAAATTCCTACTGTTGGAATTTTATGTTCAGCTGCAAAGCAAAATGGGAAAGATTGAAGAAATTTAAGAAAAGAGGCGGATACCCTAAGCCAGTGTTTCTCAACCTTGGTAGCTTGAAGATGGGTGGACTTCAAATCCCAGAATCCCCCAGCCAGCAGCGCTGGCTGGGGGATTCTGGGAGTTGAAGTCCACCCATCTTCAAGCTACCAAGGTTGAGAAACACCGCCCTAAACACTAGCATAATACACTGGAGGTTTCTCTTTGGCACTTGTTTTTGTTTTAACATTCAAAACAGGATGTCTGTGTGTGTCCCTCGCCCACTCTACTGTGATACATCATGCTCCGTTGCCTACAAAACATGTGAACTGATGTTTCAGATAAAGATAGGAAGCCATTTCCTGTTCTCTACCACAGACTGCTTAACTCAGTCCTTACCTGTTCACTGCCTTCATAGACACAGTGGGAGAGGAAATGCCGCCTTTCAGTTACTTTGATTATCTCCAACCCCACCCCGGTGAACACACACGCACACGGAGTATTAAGCAGCCTCCTTAAGCCCTGGAGGAAAATCTCACAAACTATATAGTCAGGATAGGTCCATCCATAGAGTCATTCCTCATTTTGCACCCAGCCACAATATCAACATGCGCTGACAACATGATATTGCTTCCTGTTGAAAGAAATATCCATCTGGTTCAGTTCCAAGCCGGGAGAAAGGCACAGGAGACAAAATGGAGGCTGATTGGAAAGAGGGTTTGAATGGTGAAGCAGAACCACCAAGCACATGGTTCTGGGTAGCTGACCACATGGAGTTGAGAAAGAACTTGAACTTCCTGTTCCTGTGCAAGAACATGTATTCTATTAGGTGTTGTAGGGGTCATAGCTAGGTTGTCCCAGGTTTGGTTGAAGTCTGCTGGGTGATACAATGTCCTTGGTGATTGTGCCATGTGGTGAGCTCTGCTGCTAGATGGGTTAATCCTATTATGTCCTGGAGGGTCATGTCTTAATCCCATCACCCTGGAGCTGGAGGTCTTTTGTCTTGTAGATAGGCTGGCCCAGTCTTTCTTAATGGGCCCCAAATATCTGCTGGGGGCAAGGAGCTGCTCTTTGCCTTGAAAACATGTTTATTATTTTATCATCCAGGGAAATATCATAGTCTGCCTTTTTAATATTTTTCAAAATATTTCATTCTTCTAGGAGTGGGGTAGGTGCTAACTTTCTACACTCCTTCTACTTCATAGCCTAGGTCAGGGGTGAGCAAATGTGGCTCTTTTACAACCTGTGGACTTCAACTCCCAGAGTTGAAGTCCACAGGTTGTAAAAGAGCCACATTTTCCCACCCCTGGCCTAGGAGAAAGCCTTAGGGACCCTTAGCTGCATCCTCACACAATAAAATTTGTCTCCTTGTTCCGGTACCATTCAAAATCAATGTCAACATGTTAGACTTTGTCATTCATTAGTTAATGGAGAAATTATGAATATTCAGGGCCTAAAGGGGAGCAGGAATCAGGGACATCCCCTCTACAGCAATGTTTTTGAAGCTTAGCAACTTTAAGATGTGTAGACTTCGACTCCCAGAATTCCCTAGCCCAGTGGTTCTCTCGGCCTTTTCTTCACCATGGACTCCCCATCCCCCCAAAATACCTTTTGTGGCCAAGGACCATGGCTATGGATCTCCAAGACCTAATTCAATATTTAAATCATAACATTTCAAGCCTTCGTGGACCCCCTGTGATGACATCATGGGGCCCCCAGGGATCCACGAACCACAGATTGAGACCACAGATTGATAGCCAATATGCTGGCTGGGGAATTCTGGGAGTTGAAGTCCATACTTCTTAAAAGTTGCTGAGATTGCAAAAGACTGCTCTGCAGGATGCTTCTACAGGAATAGAATTTCTCTACAGCAACATTCCCGAACTGCATTGAGTTCTGTGGGCTCAAGAACAGATGCAAAGGCTTCCATATTCCATCTGTTCAACTGTCTGATCCCTTATGTACTCCATAGGGCCTGTCATAACCTACTCCACATCAAGGACAACCTTGTCCTTCCACATTTGATGCACTTTCTTCCCAGGATCCGGCTGGGATACTGGCCAGAAGTAAACAAGAAAAAGAAAGAGGACATTACACAACCAATGTGGCTTGCCATGAAATGTCTTCTCCACAGCCATTAAAATGAAGATACTTGAGGTTTTGGGACCTCAAGCCATGAATGCAATGGGAGATTCTCCTTTTCCTCTGAATGGAGCCCCTAAAAAGTTATTCCAAAGAAAGGTGGGAATTTGACAGATTTATGAGTCATTTTCAAGACATGCAACACCTAATTAGATGCATTTTTTCTCATTATTCCTCCATTTATGGACACCAATAAGCCAAGTATTCCTCTATGACAGGCGTCTCCAACCTTGGCAACTTTAAGACTTGTGGACTTCAACTTCCAGAATTCCTCAGCCAGCAAACTTGAGGAGCTTTGCTGGCTGAGAAGAGGGAGTCAAGCTATTCTCCAAAGCACCTGAAGGCAGGACAAGAAGTAACGGGTGGAAGCTAATCAAGGAGAGAAGCAACCTAGAACTAAGGAGAAATTTCCTGACAGTTAGAACAATTAATCAGTGGAACAACTTGCCTCCAGAAGTTGTGGATGCTCCAACACTGGAAGTTTTTAAGAAGATGTTGGATAACCATTTGTCCAAAGTGTGTAGGGTTTCCTGCCTAAGCAGGGAGTTGGACTAGAAGACCTCCAAGGTCCCTTCCAACTCTGTTATTCTATTCTGTTCTGTTCTGTTCTGTTCTGTTCTGTTCTATATTTGTATCTAGTTTCTCACACATTCCTGTGAGGAGCTACTATCTGTTATGGCTCTGCTGCTGAATGGGGCTTTGTGCAATATCCTATGAAAAATTCTCCTCCTTAATAGAAGACATGAGAATGGATTTGCTAGCAAAACTGTAACCTACAATTCAAAGCAAACATTGCCCTCCAAATGGCTGAAACTATGATGAGACCCAATTATTTCTGTAACTCACTGTAACCTTCCACCAAGGCTTTGAAAAATCAAAGAGTCTGTTTAATGATAGAAAGAAATATAGATGATCTACAGCAGCTCCATACAAAACAGACCTTTTATTCACCTTTGGATAATGTTTGGGACCCCAGCTAATTATCACTAACTTTTTCTTTGTGGACATGTTTTGTATATTTTATGTCCTTACAGGTAATTTGTCCTCAGATTTTAATATTATTGATCCGCTGTGGGAAGATTTCAGATACGCAGTGCATGCAATAAAGTGAAAAATATATTTCTGAGCAAGACGAATTCTGGAAGAAAGAGTAGGGGGAAAAAATTCTAAATGGAAAAGCACTGTAGAAAGATTTTAATCTTGCTATAGGAGATGTTTGTTAGCCTTTATTTCTGCCAAGAGAGATGCTACAAAGTGCCTAACCTTTTTCATAACCCTGTATATAGTATTTCCATGCTCATCATATGCCTGGAGCCTATTTCAGTGGGAAATAAAAGAATCATACAAATCCACCAGAGAGAGATAAGTTTATAAAAGCATCTTATGTTACATAGATACATAAATAGAATTTTTAAAGGTAGGAAGGCCTCTTTCCCTTGGGAAAAAAAAGAGTAAAAGGCACAAGCATGATTGTGCATGCCTATATATGTATATGTATGTATAGGTTTTTATGTTAACTGAATTTCTCTTTAAATATCCAATCCAGCTGGGATGCCTCTTCCTGCTTGAGTCCCAGCCCTGTCAACGGTGAATAACTCACCTCTTCGAATTGTGCAATAATCTGTACTTTGGAAAGCATCACTCTGGGCAGCTAAAAAAAAAAAAGAAGAGTATAGAAGGAAGAAAATGTCCAGTGCAAACCGACTGAGAAAGTCAGCCTCAGATCTGTGTCATTAAACAATTGTGCTTTTTTTTCCAGACTGTGAGCTTTGGAAAAGGACAGGTGGCTTAGCTTGACCAAAAAACACGGTTAATCTTTTCCAACCCAAACATGACTTGCAAGACGAGCTCTTGTTTTTGCTCCCGATCCCCTTCCTGCCTTCTTCACATCACTTGAACATCCCAAATCTGCGTGGGTCTCTCTTCAGAGGAATCCCAGAGGACAGCGTGATCCTGGTCGTAGGTTCTGCCTCCTGCAAGAAAGACGGAAAGGAGTGAGTGTGCGTGGGAAAGAAGCAACGGGAAGTTGTACGTAAACAACAAGGCGCAATGTGGGAGATCAAATTCTTCCGGTATCAGTTTCAATTTTTTCCAATCTAGGTAGTCCTCCACTTACAAACAAAATTGAGCCCAACATTTCTGTTGCTAAGCGAGTCATTTGTTAAGCTTTTCGAGAAGAGATTGGACTGCCATTTGTCAGAAATGGTGTGGGGTCTCCTGCTTGGGTGAGTGTATGTGTGTGTGGGGGGGGTTGGACTAGATGACCAACAAGGTCCCTTCCAACTCTGTTAATCTGTGAAGTGAGTTTTGACCCTGTTTTGCGATCTTCCTTGCCACACTTGTTAAGGGAATCACTGCAGGTGTTAAGTTAATAACCCGGTTGCTAAGTGAATCTGGCTTCCCCATTGATTTTATTTGCCAGAAGGTCGCAAAAGGGAATCCCACGACCACCGGGACATTGCAACTGTCATAAATACGAACCAGTTGCCAAGCGTCCGAATTTTGATCACATGACCACGGGGATGGTGCAATGGCTGTAAGAGTGAAAAATGGTCCTAACTCCCCCCCCCCACTTTTTTTCCCCAGTGATGTTGTAACTTCGAATGATCACGAAACAAACTTTTGTAAGTCAAGAACTCCCTGTATTTTTCTTTAGGTTGCTTGCTCTACCCAACTTGAACTCTGCCACAGGACCTGCTGCAGTGACGGGCACTGTATGGCCCAATTGTGTTAGGATTTGGCGGGGAGGGGGTCACTATTCTCCTCACCTCCCAAGAGATACAACAGATCCCTAGATTCCCTAGGATTGTTGGATTGTGGTGTCTGACTTTGCTGAATCCCACGCTCACATTAATGCAAGAGAAGGAGTTGTCCTGACCTAGGCTTCCCCAGCAGCACGAAGCCGAGTCCTCGTCCCGATAAATGCCTTTTATTTAATTTACAGTGAATTCCTCTCCAGCAAAGTCTTTCCTCTCCCACAGTCTTTCAAGATAGTTCACAACCACCAACTGCTATAAGGCTTAGAGAGTGGCCAGGCCGAGATCTTTCAGACCAGTGGTGGGTTGTTATTGGTTCACCCCGGTTCAGGCAAACCGGTGGCGGCGGTGGCAGGAGGCTCCGCCCACCTGTTTGGAGGCTTCTGCGCATGCGCAGAAGTGTTCTGCATGGGCGCAAGCGCACGCGTGCCCATGAGTGAACCGGTAGCAATGGGTTTTGAAACCCGCCCCTGTTTCAGACACTGCAATATTTGGCAATAATGCAGAAATGAACTACCGTATTTTTCGGAGCATAAGACGCACCTTTTTCCCCCCAAAAAGAGGGTGAAAATCTGGGTGCATCTTATACTCCGAATGTAGCCCTGCCCGGCTTCTCAAACGGAGGTTTCAGAAGCTGAAAAAAGCATCAGAAACGAAGCTTCAGAAAAGAAGCCCCCAAACTCAGAAGCTTTTTTTCTGAAGCTCTGTTTCGGAGGCTTTCAGAGACAGAATTTTTTTTTTTTTTCTGAAACAGGGTTTCTGTTAGGTTCAGCTTGTAGCTTACTCCTAACTTGTTGGTCAGGCAATATATCTGTTTCTTTAAGAAACAACTGAGCCACGTAATCAGGGTTTGCTGAACCCTGTAATTAGGCCACAGTGAATAAATAAGCAGCGCAGAGAAGCGTTCTTGTTCTTGATTGATCCTGTTCCTGTTGCTTCCTGCGTCTTTCTGCTGATTGGTGTTAGACTAAATTGTTATATAGTACTGTATACCAAGAGTTAATAAAGTCTGTTTGCTTTGGTAAGGGAAGATACTTACTGGACTGATATTACTGTTTATGACCTTGGACTGTTTTACCTACACCGAGACTGCTTATTATCTTGTATAGAAAGTATTTTTCTCACACGAGCTGCATGTTTATCTCCTTCCCTGTGTGTTTCTGCTCTGCTCGTTGCACAAGCAACAAATACTTTTTACACACACCCTAACATTGGTTATGGGCCCAGAACGTCCCAGGGCTCTTTAATTTGTTTCAGAGGCAGAAAAAAAAGCAAAAAAAAAAAAGAAAGAAAGAAAAAGAAAAAAGCAAGGCACAGAGCTCCCAACCAGGGAACTTGTTGCTAAAATTCACCTCTGGGAACAGCTGATTGGGGGTATTCTGGGAGGCTGATCCACCTGCCAATCAGCTATTTTCTTATTTTCCAAAAACTAAGGTGCGTCTTATACTCCAAAAAATACAGTAATTGTCTCCTGCAAACACCCCTCCCCTTTTGCTCCTCTTCTATTCTCTATGGGAGGGGCCCTTCATCGTCCACCTGTGGCCTTACTCTCAAGTCGACCCTTGTTCCTCAGCTGTTCCCTTCGTCTGGCAACTCTGTGCATGCGCACCCTGGGAACAGGCTCCAGCTGTTCGTCTGCCTCACTGATGTCTGACTCCGAAGGCAGCTGATACCTGTCCTACGGCCCTGGCCCCTTCTCTGCCTCTGACGCAGAGCCTTCATCAGAGCCTTCCCCAGACTCCAGGACTGGCCCATGTTCCTCCCCACTGTCTGAATCCAGCGGGCCACAACAGGAGGAAAGCAGAAAGGCACAAAGAGCAACCCCATTAACAGAATTAAGACATTCGATTTTAATGTTCATGAACATTAATTTTAAATTAAGTTCAATGTATTTTGGGCCCTGGCTCTGCTGTTTTTTCCAATGTGGCTGCTGGCACATTGCTCAAAGGGCAGCAGCTACCAGCTGAGAGGGAGTTGCTGAACTGCTATCAGGAGGGTTTGCTGTGGGAAAATGCCAGTAAGGCATTTGAGAGCAAATTAAAGGCCCATATTAAGTTAATATTACACATTATTTATATATGACTACATCACTAGGAGATAATGCAGTTCATGTGATATATTACTTCAGTTAGCTATATTACATATTATACTGTATGTGAAATATTACTATGAAAACGCAGATAAGCGTTTTAAATGCATGAGAACAATTACAGCATATTATATAACATATTTATATGCATTAACTATATATGCATTTTAAGTACAAGAACTATATTATTATAAAGTATTCCATTTCACATACCGTGAAATTCCATGCATTTTAAAGACTCTTACAATATGAAATGTTATATTGCTGCATTAGCTATTTGTGTAACTATATATGTTATCATGAGATGTCATAAATATTTTAAAATAGTTACATAATATGAAGTACTATATAATATATTACATATTTCACCATAATGCATATAAGCAATTTAAACAGTATCAACTGTTAAATATTGCTGTAATATATAATATATTATCATACATAACTATAAATTACAATGAAATAATGCCTATAATACACACAATATCAAGCACTACTGTATATTGCTGTAATATATATATTAGGACTGTATTTAAATATTACTATGGAATAATATGAATGAGCATTTTAACCATATGCAATACCAAGTCTTATATTACTCTATTACAATATCTGCATATTTATATATTACTATATTAATAAGAGATAGCGCGTATGTAGGAGGCATTTTAAACATGCATTTACCATTACGTAATACAATAAATAGAAATTATTTTTAGGTCCTGGGAATGGAGGAAATTCTAATGAATGCAGGCTGATTAGGCTATGCTTTGATATCTCCTGCCAGAATAAACCATATGCTACTAAAATTCTAATTCCTATAACCTTTAACTGGGCAAAATGGTGCACCATAGGACAAAACCTTTTGAACCCAAGTACCTCAAATGGGCTAACTTACAGAATGCGTCCAAAATCTAGGACCCTGGAGCTAAAATTTGGCAAATTGTATAAAACATTTTATGACATAAACGTTATCATAAAGCAGTCTACTGTATGACAGGGGTCTCCAACCAGGGCATTATTCACTTACCATTGCTACCGGTTTGCAAATGTGAGCGCATGCGCAGAGCGTCAAAAACAGGACATGATGACATCCGGGCAGGTGAGCGGAGCCTCCCACTGCTGCCACTACTGGTTTGCCCGAACCGGATAGAACTGGCTGAATGCCACCTTTGTCTCCAACCTTGGCAACTTTAAGACTTGTGGCTGAGGAATTCTGGGAGTTGAAGTCCACAAGTCTTAAAGTTGCCAAGGTTGGAGACCCCTGCTCTATGACATAATACAAAATGTCATTAGACGTTTCCTGTGCTGACGTTTGACCGTGCTATGGAGTTCAACATGGGCTATTTTCAAGGCAGCTACATCTCTGAATGTATCCCAATTTTTCCAGGGAAGGTAAATATATTAAAAGATCTGTCATTGTTGAAGAGATTGAGGAATCTGGTAAGCAAATGTCTTTTTGAAACAATGGCTCCATGTAGCACAGGTTGTCTAGTCTCTCCTAAATCTTGTCTTCTGAAACTGTTCTTTGGAGCTAAGTCAATATGATCACTCCCCCATCTTACCTTTTACATCTAGAACTTTATCTTCGAACATCTGGCTGCATATTCTCCCAGACGAATCAATTCTCCACGTCTGCCGAGGCATTCGACTCTCAGACCATAACACCACTTTGGTGCCCTTTGCAGCTGCACCAATCACCTGGAGACTCATATTGGGTGCCACCTGAAAACCAAGAACAGGTTAAGCATTTTTACCAATTCTGGTAAAAAGCACCATTATTAGTATTTTTTTATCTTCATCATCAGGTAGCGTTAAATTATGAGACCTTTCCTCAACCTGATCTGGTCCAGATACATTGGAGGTATAATCGCCAGGTATAACAGCCGTTGGATTGGTTGGCTGAGACTAAAGGGGTTATACTCCAACATACATGGAAGTTATTGGCTTGTGCAAGAGTTTAATGGTGGAGGACCTCAGTCCAGTGGTGGGATTCAAATAATTTAACAACCTGTTCTCTACCCTAATGACCGGCTGGGTGGGCGTGGCCATGGTGGGCATGACCAGGGAGTGTGACAGGCAGCACTCAACCTCCTGTACCCCCCTGGGAGCAAAAATGGACCGCCCCCGTGCCCCGTTTTGGGCCTAGTGGCCTCCCTGCAGCTTCCTAAGAGCAAAAATGGGCCTGGGGGGCACACACCCCGCTATCCCATTTTGGGCCTAGTAGGCCTCCCAGCAGTCTCCTGGGAGCAAAAACGGCCCTCAGAGGGCCTGCACTGCACCCTCCAGCATCCCATTTTGGGCCTAGTTGGCCTCCCTGCACCTACCTGGGAGCCAAAATGAGTGGGGACTCCTGGAAGGGACAGGGCGGGGAGAGGCGGGGCCAGCCAGCAAATTAACAACCAGTTTACTCGAACTGGCCCGAACCGGCTGAATTCCACCACTGCCTCAGTCAGAAGACTTTCAACTCAGGGATGATACACCTCTGTCAATGGTTGCTAATCATGATGGCCACTTATTAACTCCAGGATAAGAAGCAACTGAATTTGGGAGTGGCAGGACAGAAATATCTGGTTAACCATTCCAGGAAATGGTTGGATTTAGGACACTTTTGGCCTGATCCAAAACTTATTTTCTGGCATTTTTATGGATGAATGGACAATCTTGCCTATCTTTGGAGGCAACAATATGATCTCTAAGTGATGGCCCAAGTGCCAGTACAAATTTGTTTAAAAAGTATAGAGAATTTGCATTAGTACAGGATCACATATTGATTATTTAGAAAAAAACAGAATCTTAAGCTTGGAGAAACTGATGTAGCCAATAGAGATGGTCAAGTTGAATTGTTTTATTCACTCCAGGGGTAGGGGACGATTTGAGCAAGTGGGATGGAAATCTAATGAGGAGAACAAATAGAATTCTGAACTGGTACACTCCATTCTGTAACTTCATGTTGCAAGTCCCAAATCTAGGATTTGCTTGTTTCTGAAGCCAAGAAATTAAAAGAGGCTTGCTCCTGGGGAGGAAAGCTATGGCAAATCTAGGTAGCTTACTAAAAAGCAGAGACATCACCCTGCCAACAAAAGTGCACGTAGTCAAGGCTATGGTTTTCCCAGTTGCAATGTAGGGCTGTGAAAGTTGGACCATAAGAAAGGCTGAGAGCTAAAGAATTGAGGCCTTTGAAGTCTGGTGCTGGAGAAGACTCCTGCGAGTCCCTTGGACTGCAAGGTGATCCAACCGGTCAGTCCTAGAGGAGATCAATCCCGACTGCTCTTTAGAAGGCCAGATCCTGGAGATGAACCTCAAATACTTTGGCCACCTAATGAGAAGGAAGGACTCACTGGAGAAGAGCCTAATGCTGGGAACGATTGAGGGCAAAGGAAGGATGAGACGGCAGAGAACGAAGTGGCTGGATGGAATCACTGAAGCAGTAGGCCGGAGCTTAAATGCACTCCAGAGGATGGTAGAGGACAGGAAGGCCTGGAGGAACGTTGTCCATGGGGTCGTGATGGGTTGGACACGACTTCGCAACTAACAACAAAAACAACACTATTTACCCTACTGGGGAACAAGTTCCCAGGACCTGGTATAAATGTTTGGATATGTATAGAACCAGATTGATACATTCTTGACTGCCTCAATCTCTATCTCTATCCAGGTGGATGAAGGTCCTTACTTGGTTCTTCATAAGTCCCTCTTCATAGTACCAGATGCAGCTGTTCTGATCATTGATCTCCGAAACCAGAACTCGCCCAGCTTTCATGTCTTCAACATCATCGGGCACCGACAGGAAGGACTTCAACTCTTGATTTTTTAGTCGGAAATAGACCCTTCTCTGCAAAAGGGGGATGAGAGATGAAGGTAAACATGGCACACTGTAAATTAGTTTGAATTGTCTGTGTTTGTAAACAAGTCCTGTACTGTGGAATAACATCTCTACAGTATCGGTAACCAAGATTGGGAATGCTTACTTAGATGTTATGGTTACAGGAACACAGAGCAACAAAAACAAAGGCAGAAAATTCTGGTTGCAAAGAACTATATCGGTCATAGAATTGAAAGATACCCCAAAAGTCATCTAGCCTATCTCTTGGCTCCAAGAAGAAATGCACTGTATAGAGCAGTGTTTCCCACACAGTAGCCATTTTAAGATGTCTGGACTTCAATTTCCAGAATACCCGGCATTTTAAGATATCTGGACTTCAATTCCCAGAATACCCCAGCCAGCAATGCTGGCTGGGGTATTCTGGGAATTGAAATCCAGACATCTTAAAATGGCTACCGTTGGGAAACACTGGTATAGAGAGAAAACCATCCTTCTTCCTTTTCAGGAGAAGAGAGACCACTGTTTTACAAACATTTCGTTTCCAAAAGAGCTTACACTATTGAGATGTTGCTCCTAATGCAGACTTGCGATCCTTTTTTAGATGTAGAACCAATATGTATTTATTTCTTACTTATAACATACATAGAAAACTCCTATCTGTTTGCTTTATTTCCTTCTAGCATCCCTCACCCTGCCCAAGTGCCAAAGAGTTGATTCTGGTTGGGTCACATTATTCATTTAGTTCCTTCTATGTTTACCCATCCACCCCAGATGATCAGAAAACTGCGAGACTCACCTGCTTGATGGGATACAGGGAGCCAATATGTTGAACCCCACTGTATGTCAGCCAGTTGGTGATCTCTGTGCATTCCAAAACCCACTGACGGCCTCGGAAGTCACTGTGTTCGCACAGCACCCAGCTGCAAATTGGAATCCGCATGAAATCAACCATAGGAGGAAAAGCATTAACAAAAAGCCCATTGAACAGGATCAGTTGTCAAATATTCTTTTCCAAAAGAAGCCCAAGATATGTTAATTGTACTAAGAGAAGTGAATATTTGTAACTCAGGGTTGAACTGTGAGGTCCTTGGTGCTCTCTGAGCTTGGTTGTTTTCTTGTAGATGTTTTATTACCCAAGTAAGTAACAGTGATTACTGTTCTGACCCAGCCTTAGCAGAACCCATAAACAGACTCCTTGTCCCAAAAAAAACCCTCTTTATTTAACTATTGTGAATTCATGGCATTCACATACAGAAAAGACCAGGCAATAATCCTTCCAAGGGTCAATTGCAATAACAGACCTTATCAGTCCTTGGATAATTGCCAGGCCGAGAGCTTCCAGTTGCAAAGCTGTAAATTAATTCCTGGCAAGAAGTCTCTGAGGCACGAACCACAATAAGGAAAGAAATACGAATTGTTGTCTCCTGCAACCACCACTCCCCTTCTGCTTCCATTTATTCCCCAGCCAGGGAGGGGCCATTCAGCGTCCATGTGTGCCTTTCTTCCCGAGTCGGCCCCTGTTCCTCAGTTGTTCTCCTCTCCTAACAGCTCTGCATGTACACGCATCTGGAACTGGCCCCAGCTGTTCTTCTTCCCCACTTATCTCCGACTCTGAAGGCAGCTAGGAAATGTCGGACAGCCCTGGCTCTATCTCTGCTTCCGATGCAGAGCATCCATCAGAGCCTTCCCCAGACTCCAGGACTGGCCCAAGTTCCTCCCCAACCTCCTCATCGTCCAAATCTGCCACCAGCTCCGCTGGCAGCTGGTGGGCCACAACAATTACTACCCAACTTTTCATTTCCCAACTATGGAGATAATGGTGATTACTACACAACGCAACACTGATGATGTTACCTAATTAGGTAATGAAACATCTGCAAGAAAACAAACGAGCTCAGAGAGCACCAACGACCCCCTACATTTATTCCTTACACAATTGGTCTCAAGGAGAAATATGTATTGCCTTGAAAAATAATAATATTATAGCAACTGCCCTCAATTAGGGCTCACTTTCAAACCCGCCCATCCTTCAGTCAGTGAGAGCCAGTTTGATGTACTGGTTAAGACACCAACTAGTCTAGTGCCGCTTTAGGCATAAATCCAGTTGGGTGACTTTAAACCAGTCACTCTCTCTCAGCCCTAGGAAGGAGGCAATGGCAATCCACTTCCAAAAAAACTTTGCAAAAAAAACCCTGCAGGAACCATTCCAAGCAGTTGCCAAGAGTCAATGCTGACTTGAAGGCACAAACCCAGAATCCTTCAGTGGCACACGTGGACAATCACAGGTTGGGAAAAGTTTAGGACCAAACCCAGAACAACCAAATAAGAACAAATGTAAAATATGCAGCTAAAGACATATATTAGAAGGATATGCATATAAAAAGCATTATGCGCAATGCTGGGAAAAGGAACCTCACCCCCCACCCCCCCCGGAAGAAGAAATAATAAAGAAAATTTTGACATGTGCAGAAATCGACAGGCTGACACTAGAACATAAAGACAAGGAAGAGACAGAATACTATAAAATTTGGAACAAAGTGTATCAATGGTTGGAAAGGAGAAAAGGAGTTGGAACAAAAAAGATTTAGGGTTTGTAGAACTGACACTGGACAATATTTAGACAAATATGTAAATGAGGACAAGAGATATGTTTATAAGAACAAAGTAGCAATGTATGTTAAGTAGTAATTATATTTGTTGTTATGTTAAAAATATGTATGGATATGACAAGACCAGGATGGTCACACTGTGTCCAATGTTTAACTTTAAAAAAAGTTTGAAACATTTTTTAAAAAAGCATTGCTCAATGGTGGAAATGGCTGATACACATACACAAGGAGGAAACAGTTTGAATAAGAATGTATATACACTATTGAAAATGGATTCAAAAGTTCAGATAAATGTTTTGAGCCAACTTCATAAGAAGCTGGGCTGAACTTGTGGTCTGGAAGGAGACAAACTCAATGCAAAGTGAAATGAGCCAATGGTCCATCCCCTCGTTTTTTCTTTACTTACATTCCACCTTTTACTCGGACAGAGAGCACGTGATTATTGAACCCTTCGGCTTTCAGGCTGCGTACTTCACTATTCAACTCAATCTCTTTCCCTTCGAAACATTCCAATCCATGCAGAAAGATGGAGGGCTCAGAGAAGAACTGTAAAAAAAAAACGGGAAGAGCAAAAAACAAGATGAAAACAAGGTTGGGGGTTATTTGATCAAACAATAAAATGCGAACAGCCCCTCAAAGTTTGCTTGGAAAGCTCTTCGGTGAAAAATTGGCATGCCATTCTGAATTCAGAAAAGAATTCAAATTCTGTGAGTGGTTGCTACTCCAGTTTAAAGAATTTCAAGAGAATGAGATTGATTTTGGAAAAGATGTCCATGCGGATGATCCTAACAGGTATAAATTATTCCAAGTGGTATAGACTTCCTTTTGCTGAGTTGACATCGAGATCTCTGCTTGGAAAAATGGGGAAAAGCTGAGTGATAATGGACAGTACAGAACAGCTTTCCCACGAGATGTTCTTCAGAAGAACGTTGGACTACAGTTCCCATTGTCATTGGAACAATATATACAAGTTGGCTGAGGATGATGTGAACTATAATCCAATGCTTCTGAGAGGCCCAACACAATGAGGGGTAAAAGAAGTGCAACATGAAAAATTATTGTATGAAGGAACATAAAGGTAAAGATAAAGGGTTCCCCTCGCACATATGTGTGCTAGTCGTTCCCGACTCTAGGGGGCGGGGCTCGTCTCCATTTCAAAGCCGAAGAGCCAGCGCTGTCCGGAGATGTCTCCATGGTCATGTGGCCGGCATGACTAAATGCCAAAGGCACACAGAACGCTGTCACTTTCCCACCAAAGGTGGTCCCTATTTTTCTACTTGCATTTTTTTTGTGCTTTCAAACTGCTAGGTTGGCAGAAGCTGGGACAAGTAAAGGGAGCTCACCCCGTTATGCGGCACTAGGGATTCGAACCACTGAACTGCCAACCTTTTGATCAACAAGCTCAGCATCTTAGCCACTGAGCCTTAAGATTATGAATCCACCTAGTACTTTCCTTTCCACAGTGACCTAACAGCACTGCCAGAAGCCCATGGGCAGGAACAAGGCTCTTCTTGATGCCTCCAACACCAAGAGGTTGCCCCAACAGCTCAAATCAAATTACTGCAGACATTTTGTCTAGCTGACCAGCCATTTCCATATCTTGTAACAAGCAGTTTCTTAATTGTTCCTAGTGTGAAAAGGTAACTTCTTCTCCCTATCCTGAACTTAGACTTCCCAAAATGGGACAATCAGAAAGAGAAAGACTCTCTTGAATCAAACTTGACAATGTAGTTTTCTTGGCAGCAACTGAGTAATAAGAACTCCAGATAAAAGCTTGGAAGGATGGACATCATGACTTACAATAGGGATTTTCTTCAGAGAGCAGATCGCTGTGGTGAAGGCGCAACCCATGGAGCTCAGTGTCGGATACTCGCCTTCTGAGAGTATGTGCTGATCACCATCAAACTGGTGGCCATCGTAAAGAATCCAGCTAAGAAGAGACAATTTGAAGTTGATGTGTGTGACTTTAGAGGCAGTGACCAAAAGCTCATCAATGAAAGAATTATGAGTTCATGGAAACCCGATCTCCCTTTAAAGCAGTGTTTCTCAACCTTGGTAGCTTGAAGATGGGTGGACTTCAACTCCCAGTATCCCCCAGCCAGCAGCGCTGGCTGGGGGATTCTGGGAGTTGAAGTCCACCCATCTTCAAGCTTCCAAGGTTGAGAAACACTGCTTTAAAGTGTACCTTAACACCATCTGAAGAGCAAATAGGCATCTACTGAAAACACATTCACCTGGGAATAATGGCTAGAAAAATTGGAAACTGAAAATGGAAGTGTTGTTCTTAGAAAAAGATGATACACTCTTTTTATAATTATATAATATAAGCCCAAAGAAGGCATAGGGATTCCTCTTAGAGGCTCAAAGGAAAAATGTTGATTTCACTCCTCTCCCATCTGCTTTTTCTTGCTACAAGTATGTCATGGTAATTTTCCCCCTCTGTTTCTCCTCTCCCCCCCACCTCATTGACGTCAATGGCTCAGTTGACAGGACTGTCTGGGGAAACCCCACAAAATGACTCAGAATTATATTTTAACTACTTCGACATTGCTGCTTTATATGAAAAGTTATCAACCCATTCAGTCATTTCACTCTCTGAACTGTACTTTGGATAGACTTCCTTCCCTTTAAGAACTGCTCCAATTCCCCCCTGTAGAAATCTCTGGGCCCTACCATGTTTCCCCGAAAATAAGCCCTCCCCAAAAATAACCCCCCCCCAAAAATAAGCCCTCCCCAAAAATATTTAAGTGCATGCGCAGCTGATCCCTGCCATTTCCTCTGGTTAGGGTTAGGGAAACAGAGGTGGAAATCAGGTAAGACGGCAAGAGGAGCCCCTCTTGCTCCACACGTCCCAAAATAATAAGACCTCCCCCGAAAATAAGGCCAAGCACTTATTTCGGGGTTCAAAAAAATATAAGACAGGGTCTTATTTTCAGGGGAACACGGTACCCCTTTTTCCCTAAGTGGAAGGGAACGGAGTACCATTTCTTTGGGATCCAGAGCAGGAAATACTAGCAGAATGGCAAGAACAAAATGAGAATGAATGAAGGAGGCCCTGCTGGTGAGAGATGCTTACCTGCCTCCATTGACCCTACAGGAATGGGGGATGAAGTTCTCTGGAAGAGTTGGTTGGTCCTCCTTAAAAGTCATGGAGTTCCCTGAGAAATCAGGCTCTGAGAAGAGTTGGATCTGGGGAGTCAAAAATATCTTGATGTGAACAAGAGATAGACTGAAGTGGCTTGGAATAACTGTCTCACAGGCGTAATTGTTTTATTTTAAAAATGATGGTTTTCAAAATTCCATAAGGAAAGGAAATCATTTTGCCTTCTCCATGCTGGCTGGGGAATTCTGGGGGTTGAAGTCCACCCATCTTAAAGTTGCCAAAGTTGAGAAACTCTGGCGTAAACATTGCTCACAGGGCTGCAGGGAGCTATTCAAAGGACGATAACTGTTTTCATTGATGAACCTAATGTAACAATGTGATCGTCAATCCTGCTTCTCTGAAAATACTACATCTATAAAATATAAATAACCTGATCATCCAATTACTACAGGAGATTTTTTTGTAATCTGGGAGGGGAGGTATGCTGCATTTTTAATTTTTATTTAGCTAATTGTCTGCAAGGAACATAGGAATCGTGGCAAATTATACCACCAAAAGAAGCACAGTAAAGATTTTAAATTTCAGGAAAGCTCTATTAAATTCAGCCTTTATTTATTATTGGGATAGGAGAGGGAAGCAAAATAGGATCAGCAGTCCAGTTTAGTAAAGGCTCAAGAAGCATCACATAAAGCCTATAAACAGCTTTGGGTAAGCCGGCCTCTGATTTAATGGACCAAGCCAACTCAAATCTAGTAATCCTGCTAGAATAGCATGACGTGACATAAAAGCTACCTTCATGCCTTGCTACTCAATGCCAACTGCTCACCTTAGAAATGAAGAACAAGCTGCGTTCCCCAACCTGTGAGGAAATAAAAGTGAATTATCATATGCTATTTAGATCAGGTTAAAGAAATGTATTACTGACTGCATGATCCGGCTAACACAAAATAGAATAGAAGTGTAACTATGCTACGGAATTCACTCCTACGTGAGTGAGATCTGAAATGGGAAAACGGCCAGTGCATTGCAACCTCTTTTCAGTTTTGGACTGGAAAGAGTTCTCTGAAAAAAACATGTGTGTTCAGCCAGTTTTAACACACCGCTCATTGCTTAGCTGTTAATCTCTGAAGAAAATACGTGAGCATACAAAGCCAAGCTTTGAGGCTTCTCCTTTTTTAATGGAATGGGGTTCCTACTTCAGGAGGACTATATGCAAATGCAGCAGGATCCAGAGAAAGTTGTTGCTTGAAGATTTGGGAGTGTGGGTTGCGGGACATCATATCTGAACTGGAAGGAAGTGAAGGCAGGCATTCTGGACCCTTACCTGTAGGACAGGTTGCACGGAGGCGATCTGGCAACTGGTTGCTCCCCAGTCTTCACAGTTGCGATACACTCCTTTCTCCAAAATATATTGCTCCCCACTGAAATTCTTGCCTTCATAGGCTACCCACCTGGTCACAGCAAAGGAAATGAAATTATCCCCATGTACTAGTCCCAAAAGAGTGTTCTGGTGGGGTATCAGTTCTATCCCCTCTGTTAGCCTTCAAATTACAGTTGCAGATCTAAAAATATTAGTGCTCCAAGAGGCCCTTAGTCCCAGGAATGCTGAGATTACAGGACTTAGTATTGTAGTCAGCCTGTCCAAACTTGGGACAGGAAGTTTGAAAGCTAACATTGCTGGTTGAGAATTTAGAAAGTTAATATCCCAGTACAGGTAGTCCTCGATTTAAAACAGTTCATTTAGTGATCGTTCGAAGTTGCAACGGCACTGAAAAAAGTGACTTATTTTTCACACTTATGAGCATTGCAGCATCCCCATGGTTAGGTGATTTCATTCAAATGCTTGACATTTGGTAGCCTTGGTAGTACAGTGGTCTAAAGCACCCTGTTATTAAGACCAGCTGCCTGCAATTACTGCAGGTTCGAATCTCGCCAGGCTCAAGGTTGACTCAGCCTTCCATCCTTTCTAAGATAGGTAAATTGAGGACCCAGTTGTGGGGGCAATAAGATGACTTTGTATAAATATACAGAAGAATGAAGGCTATTGCTTAGCACATTGTAAACCGCCCTGAGTCTCCAGAGAAGGGCGGCATATAAATCAAATTAAAAAAAAAAAGATTCATAATTTTAACAGGTGCAGTGTCCTGGGGTCATGTGATCATCTTTTGCGACCTTCTGACAAGCAAAGTCAATGGGAAAGCCAGATTCACTTAACAACCGTGCTACCAAGTTAACAACTGCAGATATTCACTTAACATATGTGGCAAGAAAAGTCGTAAAACGGGACAGAACTCACTTAACAAATTTCTCACTTCGCAGCATAAATTCTTTGCTCAATTGTGGTCATAAGCCGAGGTCTACCTGTACATCTGGAAAATGCATTGAGTAACGCTGGTGGAGCAATACGAGGCATCTTACAGAATAACAGAGTTGGAAGGGACTTTGGAGGTCTTCCAGTCCAACCCTGCTCAAGGAGTAGACCCTATAGAATTTCAGACAATTTCAGCTGTCCAGTTTCTTCTTCAAAATGTCCAGTGATGGAGTGCCCACAACTTTTGAAGGCAAGAAGTACCATTTATTAATTGTCCTCACTGTCAAGAAATTCCTCTTTATTTCTAAGTTTCTCTCCTTGATGCAGCAGTAACTTCAGGGGTGGGTGGCTGGGGGTTTGCAGGGGTTCAGGAGAACCTCTAGCTAAGATTGTGTGCAGTTCGGAGTACCCCCAAATCCCACTCCTGGCTGGCCCCGCCCACCCTGCCCCGCCTATCCCAGGAGTCCCCACGTGGCCTGTTTTGGATGCAGGTAAGTGCAGGGTGCGTGCGGAGGCTTGGGGAGGGCGAAAAACGGGCCTACTGGCAGTTTGGGAAGGGCAGGAATGGGCCCGAGAGGGCCTCTCGAGCCTGGGGAGGCCGTTTTCACCCTCTCGGAGGCTTGAGGAAAGCCTCTGGAGCCTGGGGAGGGCAAAATTGCCCCCCACCTGTGGTGCAGGAAGCCGACTAGGCCACACCCACCATGGCCACGCCCATCCAGCAACCGGGCAGAGAACCCCTTGCTAAAATTTTTGAAGTCCATCCCTGAGTAACTAGTATTCACTTAGCGACCATTTCATTTAACAACCTGATCGTTGGAACGGTACTTGATTATTAAATGAGGAATGGGTGTACTGCAGTGAATCAAAGAGAGTTCTGTATCATCCATTTTTGAATATCTTCTTTTTTCCCAGAACAGAAAGAAAGTTTTCATCCCTTTTGCCCAGGTAACAGATTTTGCCTATTTCCATCAAGGTCGTCTTCCTTACTCTCTACATTTCCTCAGCAAATACTCACACTCCGTTCAGGACATGGATGGATTGTGTCATGATCCCATATTTGGCCAGCTCAACATCTGGCAGGGCCTCACTGAGCTCAACACTGGGGCCATCTTCAAAATCCATAGCTTCAAAAAGTACAATGGCTGGGTCCACAAAGTCCTGCCCAGGGATGAAAAAAAAAATGAATGTAGCAATAGCATTTACTCATATTCTAGAGTATCACCTAGAATAGCCCTCTGAATAGCCCTCAAGTTATCCTGGGGTCACGCGATCGCCCTGTCAGACCTGGAAGCCATCTTTTAGGTTTGGGCCTTCAGGACTGCCACATCTTCTTCTGTGGGAAAATGGGAGGGGGGATTGTATAGAGAGTAGATGCTATGTAGTCAAAAGAACATTCCTTTCTCAGAGAGTCAAGGACGCATTGCCCTGGGACCTAGAGTCGGATGACTGGGGAGTGTCTTCAGTTTGGACAGTGAATGATTGGACCATGAGGGTGCTGGGCAGGGACTTGAACTTATCTATGGGTGGGGAAAACCTGGAAAGTTTCAGATTTGGGTTTTCCCAGATGTGCCAATATGACATCTCTAATAAAATGGAACTTTGAGGAAATCCAAGCCTCAGAGTTTTCTTTTATTGGGGGTGTTACTTGGAACCCTGACACGCCTTTTGAACCTTCTGACAAGCAAAATCAACGGGGAAGTCGGATTCACTTAACAACCATGTTACTAACTTAACAGCTGCAGTGGTTCACTTAACTAGGGCAAGAAAGGTCGTAAAATGAGGCACAACTCACTGAAGGACTATCTTGCTTAGTACTGGAAATTTGGGGCTCCATTGTGTGTTGTAAGTCAAGGATCACGTGTACATTGTTATAATAAATCCCCTTTTCTCAAAATACTACTTTCAAGTGAGTAACATGGTGGATAGCGGAGGCACATAGTTTGTTTTTTTATGTCTTTTATTAAGTCTAAGTCACCTGAATGATATATTATTCCTCACAGCAAAGAGAAGCAGAGGTGGTTAAATTGATTCTTTTATCCAAAGAAGAGAATATATCTAACCTGGTCTCTATTTTGAAATTGCTTCCGGATTTTGCTTTCAACGAAAAAAAAAAATTGAAACTTTGATTTTGTTTTTGTAAATTAGATAGGCTTATTGTTATAGAAATGGCTTGTACATACTGTTGCGTAAAAGCCAAAAGTTGTGGTTGTAATGTTGTTATCTTCTACTGTGCTAAAGAGAGTCGCAAATCGGTGCCTTTTTCTTTTCTTTTCTCCCTTTACACTATATCTCTTTTTTCCCCACCCCCTTTTCTTATCCTGTTTTCCCGAAAATAAGACCTCCCCGGATAATAAGCCGAATCGGAATTTTGAGCGCATGCACTAAAATAAACCCTCCCCAAAAGTAAACCCTCCCAAAAATATATATAAGTGCATGTGCAGCTGGTCCCCACCATTTCCTCGGGTTAGGGAGATAGAGGTGGAAATCAGGTAAGACAGCAAGAGGAGCCCCGTCTTGTTCCACGCACCCCAAAAATAATAAGACCTCCCCGAAAATAAGGCCAAGCGCTTATTTCGGGGTTCAAAAAAATATAAGACAGGGTCTTATTTTCGGGAAAACACTGTAGTTTTTTGTATCTTTTTTTTTCTTTGTATTTTATACTTGGATAAATTAATAAAATTTAAATTTAGAAAGCCTAAGTTACCTTCACTTGGGTGGTTGCCCCCTTGTGTTGGATATCCCACCTTTTGAATATTCCATGTTTTTTATGGATACCCCACCATTGTATTGTTCCCATTGTTTGTGTTCGTTTTGATATTTAGATTTTTAGGGGAGTTGTGGTACATTAAGATTAAATTAGAAGTGTGATAGCGAAAAGTTTAGGAATCTCTCTTCTAATCTAAAGCCATGTTCCCCAACCTTAGCAACTTTAAGATCTATGGATGTCCACTCCCAAACGTCCCTGCCAGCAGGAATTCGGGGAGTTGAAAGTTGAGGTCTACAGTTTAAACATTTTCTTAGGTGATACCGCAAGACCAAAGATCTCTCGTTTTTAATTCAGTGAGCAAACAGGCAGACTTACAGTCCGGATCAGTCTCAGTGACAACAGCTCTTCATTATAGCCAGCCCAATCTGTCCAGTCGCAATACTCCCCTTCTTCCAATAGGTACTGATGGCCACGAAAACCTTCTTTCTCATAGCCAACCCAGCTGGAGATGACAATAGACCAACAATAAAAGTGGGGTAAAGAGAGAAACTACTCTGATTCCTGAATATAAAACTACTTTCTTTCCAGGGGTGAAATTCAGCAGGTTCTGACAGGTTCTGGAGAACCGGTAGTGGAAATTTTGAGCGGTTCAGAGAACCAGCAAATACCACCTCTGGCTGGCCCCAGAGTGGGGTGGGAATGGTGATTTTGCAATATCCTTCCCCCAGGAGTGGGGAGGAAATGGGGATTTTGCAGTACCTTTCCTCTGGAGTAGGGTGGGAATGGAGTTTTTGCAATATCCTTTCCCCAGGAGTGGGGAGGGAATGGGGATTTTGCAGTATCTTTCCTCTGGAGTGGGGTGGGAATGGAGATTTTGCAATATCCTTCCCCTACTACGCCCACCAAGCCACGCCCACCAAGCCACGCCCACAGAACCAGTAGTAAAAAAAATTGAATTCCACCACTGTTTCTTTCTCTCATGTCTATGGAGATTCTCAATCATCCAGGACATGGTTGTCCCAAAGGTGCTTTTCCAAAGGGCAATTCGACTTTCTTAATTTTTTTACTTGAAAACATTTTGCTTCTCATCTAAGAAGCTTCTTCAGTTCTGACTGAAGGGTGACTGACCATTCCATCAGAACTGAAGAAGCTTCTTGGATGAGAAGCAAAATGTTTTCAAGGGAAAAAAAACCCGAGAAAGTCCAGTTGTCTCTTTTGGAAAAACACCTTTGGGACATTTCTTTCTTTCCTTTCCGAAATCAGCCTGTATAAAAACGGACAACATGGTTCCTGCAGTTGAAAATATTTTTTTCCTATTGAACTTTTTCTTTCTTTTTTAAAAATTAATCTTTCTTTTTAAAAAGTATGTGAGAGAGATAGAAAACGAACAAGTGGAAAAGAAGGGATTTTTCTAGTGGAGAAATAGTGAAAAGTTTAATATTCAGCTCAGAAATTGAAAAAGATCTCTAAAATCCTTTTCCTTGTTGTTAAAGAGAACCATGTATTTTTATGGTTATTTTTCATCAGTGATATCCTTGAGTACTAATTGTACAACTTTTGCAATTGCTTTGTCCAGTTACTGATACAATATTTTTGCATCTTTTTTTCTTTGATTTATTTATTTCATGGTTCTGGATGGATCCCCCAGTGATGTACAGATGTATATTGTAATAAAAATATAATATGATGCAATGACAAACAATAATAAAACAAACAGCAGTAATAAAAATCAGCAAAAAAAATCAGCACTTTTAAAGCCCAGGATGGCTTGCCTTTGCCTAGCTCAGGGATAAGCAACCTACGGCTCCGGAGCCGTATGCGGCTCTTTGGGCCCTTTGCCGTGGCTCCCTGTCAGGTGATCCCACCACTGGCTGGTCCGCTCCTCGCCCTCCCCTCCCAGTCACTTCTCACCTGGCCTGAGAAGGTAAGGGCAACCGCGGGGGATGGAGAAGCGGCCAGGGCAGAGACAGAGAGATACAGAGAGGGGGAGAGAGGGAGGGAGGGGAGAGAGAGATATGTCAAAAGGATTTTGTGGTTCCCGGTGTTTTTAACAACTGGTTCTCTGCCCTAATGACCAGCTGAGTAGGCATGGCTGGAGGGGTCATGTGATTGGTGGAAGTGAGTGACATCGAGTTGGCCACGCCCACCCAGGTTTTGTGGCTCCCGGTGTTTTCTTTTCTGTGGGAAATGGGTCCAAATGGCTCTGAGTATTTAAGGTTGCAGACCCCTTGCCTAGCTAAAGAACTGTATGTTTGGGTTTTTTTTGGAAGAAACTAATGTCTTTGCTTCCCAGAACTGCCATAGGAGAAGGAACATAATACAAATGGGAGAAATCGTGTCATCCAAAATTGCTCACCAGCCTCCCAAGATTTTCAGAGAACCAGCAGTGGACATCATGGAATCCTGGTTGTTTTCTGGCTTCCTTAAGTTGTAAATATCTCGGCTTACTTCCCAGCTATGGCCCTGAAAATGTGGCCTCTCAAAAATTAGAACCTGCGAAGAAAATGACGGAGAATGCAATGAGCATTTGCTTGGCTTACAAGTTTTTTAATACTGAAAAAAAAAAATTATTGGGATGGAGGAATGAATAAATGCTGAGATTCCCAGGGAGCTGAACCCCAATTACAGATAGTCCTTGAGTGACTAAGGACTGTTTTTCACACTTGTGACTCTCCCCCTCCCCCCGCTCGTTGTAACATCCCCATGGTCATGTGATCAAAATTCAGGCACTTAATAATAATAATAATAATAACTTTATTGTCATTGTACGTGTATACCCAGTATACCCATACAACGAAATTCACTTAACATCCAAAGACCATCCAACACACATAACAATCCCCAAACACACCCCCACCCACCACAAATTCCCCACCCCTAAACCACCCAAACATCCACACAACAGACCAAGTAATGCTGTCCAACAGGTCACTGATGGTGGCCCTTTAGTTCATTTAGGCAATTATAGCTCTGGGATGCATTGATGACACTTGCATTGTTCTGGGGTCATGTGATTATGAATTATAACCTTTCCAGCCAGTTTCCAACAATCAAAGTCAATGAGGGGAGCAAGATTCGCGTGACCATCACACGATTCACTTAACAATTGCAGTAATTTGCTTAACAAATGTGGCAGAAAGGTGATACGATGCAGCACAATTCACTTAACCGTTGCCTTGCTTAGCAACATAAATTTTGGGCTCCATAGCTCCTCCGTGGGCTGTCAGACTCCTGAATGCCACATAACATCGTAAGTATGTAGTATGATAGACTTGCAGGACCGGTGCAACGTGCAACATGCTAATATTGATGCAATATATTATAATGTAATGTTATGCACATATATGTATAGAGGATTGTGTGTTTGTTAATATGATTTCCTGGGTTAGGGATTTTCTTTCTTTCACTGTGAGTTATTGAGATGTATTGTGTTGGGGGGACCACGCTAAGGGAGGCTCAGCCAATCTCATTGTACATATGTTGTGCATTGACAATAAAGCTTTGAAATTGAAATTGAAATCTGTTGTGGTTCTTATGTGGCTTCCCCCTCGAGGTTGACACATATATGTTCTATTCTATTCTATTCTATTCTATTCTATTCTATTCTATTCTATTCCATTCCATTCCATTCCATTCCATTCCATTTTCTCTTCTCTCTCTCTCTTCTTCTCTTCTCTTCTCTTCTCTTCTCTCTTCTCTCCTCTCCCCTCCCCTCTCTTCTCTTCCCACCTCTCCCCTCCCCTTCCATATTTTCTATTCTATTCTATTCTATTCTGTTTTGTTCTGTTCTGTTCTGTTCTGTTCTATTCTGTTCTGTTCTATTGTATTCTATTCTATTCTATTCTATTCTATTCTATTCTATTCTATTCTATTCAGTTCCATTCCATTCCATTTTCTCTTCTCTTCTCTTCTCTTCTCTTCTCTTCTCTCCCCTCCCCTCCCCTCCCCTCTCTTCTCTTCCCACCTCTCCCCTCCCCTTCCATATCTTCTATTCTATTCTATTCTATTCTATTCTATTCTATTCTATTCTATTCTATTCTATTCTATTCTATTCTATTCTATTCCATTCCATTCCATTCCATTCCATTCTCTTCTCTCTTCTCTTCTCTCTTCTCTCTTCTCTCCTCTCCACTCCCCCCCTCCCCCTCTTCTCTTCCCACCTCTCCCCTCCCCTTCCATATTTTTCTGTTCTGTTCTGTTCTGTTCTGTTCTGTTCTGTTCTGTTCTATTCTATTCATTGTGGTTGTAAGCCAAGGACTATCTGTATGTGCTTCATGTCCTCGCCTGTATGTTTCTCTGCTAAAGGCTGGGATCTAAGAGAAAAGGGGTTGGACTAGATGACCTACAAAATCCCTTCCAACAAAGTTAATCTGTTAAAATGTATGTATGTATGTATGTATGTATGTATGTATGTGTATACATATATGTGTATATGTATATGTGTGTGTGTATATATGTATGTGTGTATATACAGTATGTGTGTGTATACATATATATATATATGTATGTATATATACATATGTATGTATGTATGTATGTATTTGTGTGTGTTCTGATTTTAAAAATGCAGTTTTGCAGCAAACTCAGACTCTTTATCTCTACTTTTTGCAAGGATGTAATTCTATCCAGTCAGACTTGGCCATGATCCCATTACCTTGGGCTCTGCAGGCGTTTCAACAACTGGGGAACCCTGAAAAGAGAATAAACACAAGAGAAAATTCTATAACTGGATCTATTGATTATGGTTTCCTTTTCAGCTCATCATTATCTGGATTCTTGAGACATTGTCTGGTACCACTTTTGCATAGGAATTCTCCCTGACCTTAGATTATCATCCATCAAAATGGTCTTGCTTTCAATTTTAAAAATTTCAAATTTCCTCACAAATAGCATACACTTAACATTTAAAATGTTCATAGGCAGGAAAAAAACAGTCTGACCAATTTACTGATGCAAGCAGATCAGGGGTGGGTTCTACTTACCTTTACTACCAGTTTGCAGTGGGAGCGTGCATGCACACACAAATCAACCCATGATGATGTTGTGACGGGTGGGCGGAACCTCCCACCCAAACTAAGAGCCTTGGTAGTACAGGGGTTTAAGGCACCCTGTTATTAAAGCTGGTTATTAAGACCAGCTGCCTGCAATTACTGCAGGGTTCGAATTTCGCCAAGGCTCAAGGTTGACTCAGCCTTCCATCCTTTCTAAGGTAGATGAAATGAAGACCCAGTTTGTGGGGGCAATAAGCTGACTTTGTATAAATATACCAAAAGATGAAGGCTATTGCTGAGCACATTGTAAGCCGCCCTGAGTCTTCGGAAAAGGGCGGCATATAAATCAAATAAAAAAAAAATTATTTACTACCGCTTCTGTGGGTGGGGTTTGGTGGGCGTGGCAGGGGAAGGATACTACAAAATCTCCATTCCCACCCCACTCTAGGAGAAGGATACTGCAAAATCTCCATTCCCGCCCCACTCTGGGGCCAGCCCAGAGGTGGCATTTGCCGGTTCTCCGAACTGTTCAAAATTTCACCTTACTGATTTCTGAATCAATCAGAAGGGAGGGAGGTTGATGAATTAGCTGAAACTGCATTTGTGCCACAGCATGGGACTGCCAGTGCCTTCAGGGCACTGCAATATTGGCCAAAGTACAACTCCCTAAAAATAAAGAATATAAAGGGAGATATTCCTAGAACAGCCCAATCCGGACTGAATGTACTTATGGGTGTGTAGAAAAGAAAGAAAATTAAGAAAGGGAGTGGAATGAAGAACAGCGAACTTGCATTCCACTATGTAACTTCTGGTTACAGGTCTCACTTCCTTAAATAAACTAAGTAAGCAATGCTTAAGTAAATGAAGAAATATACAAACATACAAGCATTCATTTGTATGAGGCACTACACTTTTTTTAAACAAATTAAAGACATGTGTTCTTAAAGAAACAAACCTGTCATTCAGCTGACTTGCACAAGTAAAATACCGGTTGAATACATTTGGTGAAAGTGGCACAATTTTTTTTTAAAAAAAAAATTGCTGTACCTGTGCTATTTAAATCTGCCCTCTCAGGCTAAGAAACAAATAGACACTCTCTAAAATAAATTTTGCAATCTGCAAAATAAATGTTGCTGTCTACGTGTTGAACACGTTCAGGATTTCCATATATGGAATTTGTGTTGCTCCCAAATGAGTCCCATATCGATGGGATCCTCAAGGATTACTAGTTTCTCAGCTAACTCACATGATTTATTTCTGGCGCACCTGCAATTGGTCTCAAATTGCAATTCAAGAAATCCCCATTTTAAGACTAGGAAGCTTTATGTCTCCCAACCTTCGCCATTTTAGGATGTATGGACTTCTGGGAGTTGGAGTCCATACACCTTTACCTGGCTAAGGTTGAGAAACACGGCTCTAAAGCAAAGTTTCCCAACCTTGGCAACTTTAAGATGTGTGGACCTCAACCCAGTGGTGAAATGTAAAATTTGTTACTACCGGTTCTGTGGGCGTGGCTTCGGGGGGGGAATCAGACTGGGTGGGCGTGGCTAACTTTTTTTTTTTTACTTTTTTGAAGCATTTTTTTACAACCTATTCATGAATAGGTTGTAAAAAAAATGCTTTTAAAAGGTAAAAAAAAGGCTGATGATCACAGCTGCGGAGCGCGATCGTCAGAGCCTTTTTTTTTACCTTTTAAAAGCAGGAAGTAACGACACCCAGGTGGATGGTGGAGCCTCGCGCCGCCATTGCTACCGGTTCTCCGAACCACCTGCCACAATCGCTACCGGATCGCCCAATCCGGTCTGAACTGGGAGCATTTCACCCCTGCCTCAATCCCCAAAATTCTCCAGGAAGCAAAAATGCAAATGTAAGTCTAAAGTGCAAGCAAATAAACAAAGTCAGTGGAGAGAATTCTCTGGGTTTGAGAACATCTCCAAGACGTGGCAACTGGTGACCAGATGACCTTGCCACTTGAGATCTTAGTGCATCCATTAAGGAATCAGTAAAAAAAGAATAAACAACCAATTGAGACCTTGCCTTCATGAATTAGAACATTAGGGCTAAAGTGTACATATGTATTTGGTTTCCAAAAATCTGTAGTGCCTTTTCCTGACTTGAAATCAGACTAATGAGAGTTAATGTGATGTTAACTTGCTTGGTCAGATGCTGTTTATAACAGGAAGAAAGAAAGAAAGAAAGAAAGAAAGAAAGAAAGAAAGAAAGAAAGAAAGAAAGAAAGAAAGAAAGAAAGAAAGAAAGAAAGAAAGAAAAGAAAAGAAAAGAAATGAAAAGAAATGAAAAGAAAAGAAAAGAAAAGAAAAGAAAAGAAAAGAAAAGAAAAGAAAGCTAGCTTTGGGGGCACAGTGGTTAGAATGCAGTATTGCAGGCAAACTCTACCCACAGCCTAGAGTTCAATCCTGATCAGCTCAAGGTTGACTCAGCCTTCCATCCTTCCGAGGTCAGTAAAATGAGGACCCAGATTGTTGGAGGCAATATGCTGACATTGCAAACCACACAGAAACTGCTGTAAAGCACCATGGGGCAATATATAAGCTAAATTCTATTGCTATTGATATTTTTCAAGGGAATACTTACTAGTTTAATTGGATGCATGGAGCAAATGGAGGGGTCTTTTGCACCCCAGGCTTGCAAACTGGGATACCCACCAGGTTCTAAGACATATGGGTCATCATCAAAGAACGGTTTTGAATAAACGAGCCACCTATGGAATAGAGAGATCTATAAAAGAACTGGCAAAACAAATAACAATAACATATCTCCTGAACGGAACTGTAATCCCCAGAGATCTTCTGGAAGGAGGTAGTTTGCTTGATCAATGCTTTAAGCCAACTTATGTTTTCCATACTAATATGTGAATTAGAAGGCAATGATTGATTGATTCTGCCCATTGCGGCCCTCAATGAAATCGAGTTTGACACCCCTGTTGTAACCAATCAGCTTTCCATTAGAGAAGGAGTTAATGGCCACTCTTCAGAGCTTTCTACTTTAGTCTCTATAAAAAGAAGTCAAGCACTTTAGCTCAAGGTCACCTCTTACAAAGTGGGTACTCAAAACAGATGAGAGAAAAAAAGTGCCTTACAGGCCAGAGTGTACAATGATAGATGCTGCCTTCAAGGGTTGGCCACATGTTCGTAAATCTTCAGCAGAATCGGTGAACCTCTGTTTTCTCCCTTCGCCGTTTTCCTCTGCAAAAAAAGTGATCTCGGGGAGTCTGAAATCCTGCAAAGAAGTTTGGCTTGTTAATGGAGAAAGAGTTGATTTCCATCATCGTTACTTCCTAACATTCAGTAATGGTTACATATTTCAACAGTAGATAAAACTTTTGTTTTTCAGAAAATAATTTTCAAGAGGAGCCTAACTGATCAAGGCAGACGTGATGCATCAACCAATTCATTCAAAATATGGTCAAGTGCTTTGCATTGAAAAATTGAAGCTTCAATCACTTAGGGTTATAATTTGGTTGTTGTATGTTCATACCATTCTTTCACCCAAAAGAGGCAATACCATAAGGTAAAGGTAAAAGTTCCCCTCGCACATATGTGCTACTCGTTCCTGACTCTAGGGGGCGGTGCTCATCTCCATTTCAAAGCTGAAGAGCCAGCGCTGTCCAAAGACGTCTCCGTGGTCATGTGGCCAGCATGACTCAACGCCAAAGGCGCACAGAATTCCCACCAAAGGTGGTCCCTATTTTTCTACTTGCATTTTTTACGTGCTTTCAAACTGCTAGATTGGCAGAAGCTGGGACAAGTAACAGGAGCTCACCCTGTTACGCGGCACTAGGGATTCAAACCACTGAACTGCCGACCTTTCGATCGACAAGCTTAGTGTCTTAGCCACTAAGCCACCGTGTCCCCCTGGTGGCACTTTTGGCTACCCAATGTCCTCCTCATCTGCCACAGATGGTGAGTCACCTGCTTTTCATCATATGCAGAGGTGAATTCCCCACTCTGCAACTGAACCACATCTTGCTTTTCACTGCCTTCAGTTGCTTTCCCTGCTTTGATGAATGAGGCTCAGCTGCAAATCATGGCAACTCCAGGAAGGCTTGAGAAGAATCTACTTTTTCAAGTTTCAGACAGGAGATAATTTTGATCCAGCAAAAGGCAGCTGTTCTGACCCAGCTCCCCAAACACAACAAACCCTCTGAAGTGAACTCAAAGATTCCTTTATTAGGAGCTCCAGCAGCCCCGGCAAAAAGTTTCTCTCTCAACGCAGGCTAACAAGGCCATCCGGCAAGGAGATGAATAGTTGTCTGCCACATCTATTCATCTCTGCCCCCTGCCTTTTCTCCCCATAATTAGGGTGGGGCTTCGCTAGCAGCTGTGGCTCTTCCGTCCCAAGGATCAGCCCATAGATTTCCACTGCTCTCCTCTCCTCTGCCTTCTGCGCATCCGTGTGTCAGGCACTGGACCCAGCTGTTCCTCCTCTTCCTCATCAGCCACCTCTAGACCTGGGGGCTGTTGACTCTCCATCTGAGGGTTGATGGATGGCCCAGGCTCCACCTCTCTCTCTCTCTCTCTCTCTCTCTCTCTCTCTCTGCCAGCTCCATTCCCTCTTCCCCCTCAGAGCTCTCAGGATGCCTTGATGCTGGCCCTGACTCCCATGCCTTCTCCTCCTCTGATTCGGTTGCTGGAGGGACCGGCGGCCAACAGGCCACAACAGCAGCTTTCTATATTCTCACTCTTCCAACATCAACATTCACCTACATGGCCAACCAATTCCCTGAAAAGAAAAAAGACTCTTGAGTGGAACTCAGTTCCTTTTACCTGCACAACCCGTTTGAGAGAACCAATACGGAATGGGGCATTATCTCCTTCTGACTCTTCCTTGCAGTACATTCTCCAAGGGTTACTGATTTCCACGTTCCCTTCGGCCAGCACACACTTCCTCCCATGGAATCGGGGCTTTTCATACATCAACCAGCTGGAGAGAACCAGAAAGGAACATCATTGGATGAGCGTCCATTAGAGCCAAGTCTTGAATTCTAGAGTTGGGTTGGCTGGGGTGTGATATTGATGGAGTTACTTGAGTACCCACCCACATTCTTCGTGGTCCTTAAAAGGGAAATGCCTTTCCTCTGTACTGAACAAGCTTACAAATATTTATCAAAAATATCTTACAAAATGTTTTGCTTCAACCACAAAACATTGGAGGGGAGCAAAAATTGTGGGAGACTCTCCCGTCCTCCTGCTATTTGCCCTTTCATTCCTCCAAAGCTCCATGATTCAGACAGACACAGTTTTATGCATTAGAGCAGTGGCACAGAAAACAGTGTTCATCCAATAATTAAAGTTGAATATGATAGCAAAGACCACTTACTTCAAAGAGCAGCTATTATGCTCATTGGGAAAATAATTATTAGTCCAATTTATCTGGACAGCTCATGCACAGTATATAAGGGAAACTACTCTCTTTTACTGTGATGTTCCCTCCCACAGTAGCTGGTATTTAAGAAGGAGAGGACAGCCTTTTAAGGTGGACCAAATCAGGAAACTGACTCCATAGAAAGAGTATTGAGACAGGATATAGTAGAGATGAAAAAATTCAACACTTTCCATTCTGGAGGAATGTTGGTGGAATTGACAGAGCTTTCTAAGATGGATACACTACCTCCTTTAATTGCAGTAGAGAGAAAATATTACCTACGTTTATTGGTTATGAAACCTCTTGTGGGCTTTTCTGGATAATAATGAACACAAAATGTACTTGCGATTTATATTTTTGATGATTAGACAAGATAGATGATAGAAAGAACTGGATCATGATGTAACTTTAGAGAGATTAAAGTACAAGTGTGCTTATAATTGCTGGGGAGAAGATCAGAAGTTGCTTTTTTTTTCTTTTTCTATTTTTAACTTTTCTGGCACTTTTTGCTTTCTCTTGGTTTCTTTTTCCTCTTTCTTCTGTATTTTATAGACTAGTTTATATTAGTTTTTAATCTTTCTTTTTAAAATGATGTGTGTGTGTTTGTGTGTGGAGAGAAAGAGGAATGAGAAAGAAAGGGAAATAGAAATAGAAATGAGAGAGAGAGACAGTTAGGAGAAAGAGAGAAGTGAGAAAAAGAGGGGAAAAATGAGAGAGAAACAAGAGCAGAGAAGAGAAACAGATAATAGGGTAGGGTAGGGTAGGGTAGGGTAGGGTAGAATAGAATAGAATAGAATAGAATAGAATAGAATAGAATAGAATAGAATAGAATAGAATAGAATTATAGGAGTTAGAAAGGACCTTGGAGGTCTTCTAGTCCAACCCCCTGCTTAGTCAGGAAACCCTACACCACTTCAGACAAATGGTTATCCAATCTCTTCTTAAAAACATCCAGAGAGAGAAACAAAAGAGAGGGAAAGAGACAGAGAGAAAGAGAAAGGGGGAGGGGGAGGGAAACGAATCTAGCAAGCTTGACAGTCTGGCTGCTTAGCGACCATTCAAAATTACGATGGACCTCCCCAGTGCCACTTACGACCGGATTTCAAAGTTCCAACGACCACGCACTGAAGCTTTTGATCCTTTTCATCATATTTTCTTGCTGGTTTCTTTTTCTGGCCGAGGGCCTGTTTTCCCACTATGCTTATCCCAAGCCAGCCAAAAGCATTGCTTACCCTCCTCGGATCACTTGAATGGAGATAGTGTTTGCGAGTTCCCAAGAAGTGGCATCCGGGACATCATTCCAGATTTCTCTTTTCTGCCCTCCAAAGCCTGCCTCGGAGTATAAAATGATCTGCAGTAAAGTAAGAAACAGATGGTGGTGGGGAGCAGTGGTGAAATCCAAATTTTTTTATTACCGGTTCTATGGGCATGGCTTGGTGGGCGTGGCTTGATGGGCGTGGCGGAAGGATACTGCAAAGTTCCCTCCTCACTCCTGGGGGAAGTATACCGCAAAATCCCCATTCCCTCACACTCCAGGGGAAGGATGTTGCAAAATCTCCATTCCCACCCCACTCTGGAGCCAGCCAGAGGTGGCATTTGCCAGTTCTCCTAACTACTCAAAATTTCCACTACTGGTTCTCCAGAACCTGTTAGAACCTGCTGGATTTCACCCCTGGGGGGAAGGAAAAGGGACCGTCTTAACTTTGTGTCTACCAAGGTATAATCTGTTTGCCGGATCCTGGGAAATGGCCCTTCCTTTTCACCAGCCTACCTTGCTAGGACGCTTGTTGATCTTCACAGGATTATGTTCCTCTTCCTGAAATTGAAAAATAGATGGGAAATTACGGAAGGTCAAAGGGCAGCCCTTGCACAAGTAAATATGGCCATGGTCAGTGGTGGGATTCAACCGGTTTAACAACTGGTTCGCTGAGCGCACGCTTCGCAGTACATTTGAAAACAGCTCTAAAACTTACCTTCTATTGCAGCCCTGGTGAGTAAAACAGCTGAGGCATGGCAATCCTCTCTGCCACGCCTATCAGCTGGGCTTCAAACAAAGGAAATAAAGGTAGGTATAGCGCAGGGGCGAGTGGGCGGGCTCAGCTGATCGTCGGAGCAAACTGGTTCGCTCTCAGCTGATCATTGGAGCTACCGATTCACCCGAACCTGTCCAAACCGGCTCCCATGGCCATGGTGGAAATTTTCAAAAGGTCTCTGTGTCTAAAATGTACATCCAAGGAACTTTCTTTGCAGTTGTGGAATAAGTAAAGAGTGTGTATTTTGGGAGATCAATTGTATATTATTTAGCTTGTTAGTTTTATATCCATCCATTCCTTCAGGAGCTCCAAGTGCCCCACTCTGTGTCTCTCCCCACAATCACCCCCTTATACAGTGGGTTGGGCTGGGAGAGACGGATTAACCTCGGGGTATTTCCATGGTTGAAAAGGGACTATGATGGAACCTCAATCCCTTAACTACAGGTAGTCCTTGATTTATGACGACAATTGAGTCCAAATTTTCTGTTGTTGAGTGAGACATTGCCTAAGTGAGTTTTGCCCCATTTTACGACCTTTCTTGCCATAGTTGTTAAGTGAATCACTGCAGTTGATAAATTAGTATCCTGGTTATTAAGTGAATCTGGCTTCCTCAATAACTTTGCTTGTCAGAAGGTCACAAAAGGGGATCCCATGGCCCTGAGACACAGCGACGGTCATAAATATGAGCCGGTTGCCAAGCATCTGAATTTTGATCACATGATCATGGGGATGCTGCAAAGGTCGTAACTGTGAAAAACGGCCATAAGTCACATTTTCTAGTGCTGTTGTAACATTGAACGGTCACTAAATGAACTGTTGTAAGTCGAGGACTACCTGTACTACACCACATGTGTCTCTTGCATTGCATTCAAATATTCCTTTCCTCAACATACACGGGTCTGGAGTGTTTTTGATCATTTCTGTTCATCTGATATAATATTATTGTCAACTCTGGAGCTGGCCTGACTGAGGCCATTTTGAGGCTCCAGTGTTGCCACAAGGGAGATGAGGGTTAGGGAGGGGGGCAGTGGTGGGTTGCCCCCGGTTTGGACCGGTTCGCAAGAACCGGTAGTAAAACCGGCGGGAGGCTCTGCCCACCGACCCCGACATCATCAGGAAGCTTCTGTGCATGCACGTGGCCCCGTTGCAAACTGGTAGTAAAGGTAAGTAGAACCCACCCCTGGAGGGGGGGAATAGTGATAACTGGGGTCTGGTAGTCAAAACAAAATAGTTTTCCTTGTGAACCAAGGACATTCCCACAGGAGGCTGAAGAAAGGAGGAATGATGTTGTCCAAGCAACCGGACTCCACCTTGATTGGACCATGTGACTGATAGTTTGGGAAAAGGGGAAAAACTTTTACTTTTAATTAGGTGTAAACCGTGGGAACCTTCAGAGTCGGTTTTCACCAGCCTGTGCCAATATGATATATCTAATAAAACTATTCTTTGAGGAACCTATCTACCTCAGAGTTCTGTTTGCTATGGGTGTATTACTCGGATCCCTGACATTAAACCGACTCTAACAATTATGGCTTCGAAAGCCGAGGGAGAAGACTAGTCCATTCCCCCCATCCTCTCCTTGGCCCCTGAATCATGTTCCACAGGAATCGATTTTGCAAGCCAAACATCAAAGAACTCATCTAGTTGGTGTCATCATCTACTGAAGTCAGTTTCACAACGCCAATAGAAAGTTCTCTGAACTTAATGCATTCTTGCTTGCATAAGGAGCATTCCTCTTTCTTTGGAAGCACCACCGCAGCTCTGAAACATTGTGCACCTAGCCCTGCATGGAAATCCAGATTGCTCAAAGGACCCGACATAAAAGCAATGGGGGTGGTGGTGGGGGATGGGAATGTTTATCCAGAAAAACGAGTCGGAACCTGTGTCTTGTGCTCCATAAAGGGCTGTTGTGAAACTGTCAAGTTGCAATGCCCTAAAATAAACTTTACATATCAGAAACATCTGAATCTCTTGTTCCTCTTGTTCGCTTCGCCACTGAAAATTCTTGTTTAAACATAAAGGGGGAAAAAAGGGGGGGTGAGAATTGGACATGTTTACAGATATAGATACTGATTAACAGAGTTGGAAGGGATCTTGTAGATCATCTAATCCAGGGGTCTCCAACCTTGGCAACTTTAAGCTTGGCGGACTTCAATTCCCAGAATTCCCCAGCCAGCAAAGCTGCTAGGGAATTCTGGAAGTTGAAGTCCGCCAAGCAAAGCTGTCCGCCAAGCAAAGTCCACCAAGCAAAGCTGGCTGGGGAATTTTTTTTTTTTAATTTGATTTATATGCCGCCCTTCTCCGGAGACTCAGGGCGGCTTACAATGCGCTAAGCAATAGCCTTCATCCTTTTGTATATTTATACAAAGTCAACTTATTGCCCCCACAAACTGGGTCCTCAATTTACCTACCTTAGAAAGGATGGAAGGCTGAGTCAACCTTGAGCCTGGCGAGATTCGAACCTGCAGTAATTGCAGGCAGCTGGTCTTAATAACAGGGTGCTTTAGACCACTGTACTACCAAGGCTCTGTTCTGGGAGTTGAAGTCCGCCAAGCTGAAAGTTGCCAAGGTTGGAGACCTCTGATCTAGTCCAAACCTCCCCACCCCAACCCCCGCCCAAGATCTCACAACAATTGTAGTTTGAGGTGAGCGTTCAGCTCTGTAAAATGGAATATTGCAGTGTTTTCATCCTGTACGCCTACTGTTACCTCGGCTCCTGTCTGAGACGACCACTTTTCAATTTCTTTAATGAGCATCGCTGACTCTGTAGCCGCCCCATTTCAAGATTGCAAATAATAACTTTCGTTCAGGCACAGCATTCAAGTGGCTTTCTCTAAGCGCTGTGCAATTGAGCAAAGTGGTGGGTTCGGTCCTATAACCCTCCTTTTTGAAGTTTAAGCTGTGCCACCAGTTCCACAACTAGCTGAAGCGAAGGACGATAACTCATCTGGGTGCAAAAAGGGGCACCATGTTCTTTTTTTCCACACTGCAGAACTCAAGAGAGAGTTCAAAACAGCCCTGCTCTTGAACACACCAAGTGACAAGAGACTCGCACATGTAGTGGCAGTTTGGAAGGGCATTGTTATTCCCAGGAATTTAGTGACATTATTTTGATTTCTCCTTCATCGTAAGAATAGTCTCGAAGTTTAGAACTCATTCTGAGCTAACCTTGCTTTTTACTCTTGCGTTTGAATAAAGGAGAAACCGGGAGGATTTTCACGTAGCCGCAAGCTTTTCTTACTGTAAAAGTCTCAGACTTTCCATTCCCATCCTAAAGTTATGTGCCATCCAGTCCTTCTGCACAGAACTAGATACTGTGAAAACTGTCCATCTTTGGGGTATCTTTGCTGGAGTTATTAAAGAGCTCCTGGCAGCTTGTGAGCAATTTGGGTATCATCTTGCTTGGGGAATCTTCTTTGGAAGAGCTTTATAGCTCCCGCTGCCTTAAGAAAGTTCAAAACATTCTTAAAGAGCCATCTCATCCTGGGCAGCCTTTTTTTTTGAACTATTACCATCTGGCAGACGGTACAGGATAATAAAAACAAGGACGAATACGCTGAAAAACAGTTTCTATCCCAGGGCAGTAACCATATTGAATTCTACAATATAATGCAATATTGGGTTTTCAATTTCAATTATATAGAATGTAAAGGATGTATGTTTGTGTTTTTATTTTTATAGTTATAACGCACACTGAAGACGGCATTTAGTTTCGTTGTACCATGTGCAATGACAATAAACTAAACTAAACTAAACTAAACAACTAAACTAAGGATGAGCCTTAGTGGAGCAGCGGACTAAAGTGCTGTTAAGTAGCACTTAGCTGCCAGCTGCCTGCAATTACTGCGAGTTCAAATCTCACCAGGCTCAAGGTTGACTCAGCCTTCCATCCTTCCAAGGTAGGTAAAATGAGGACCCGGATTGTGTGGGCAATAAACTGACTTTGTATATAAAAAAAAGAACACTGCTTAGGGGGGGGGGGCAAAAGCCCTACTAAGCAGGTACATATCAAAGTATGAAGGCTATTGCTTAAAGCATTGTAAGCCGCCCTGAGTCTCCGGAGAAGGGCGGCATATAAATCGAACCAATAAAAATAAAAAACTAAATTAAACTAAACTAAACTAAACGTATGCTTTTTATCTTATGCTTTTAAATCTCTTTGCATGAGCTAATAATAAAGCTTAAAATCCTTTTTATTTAGTGGTGTGCTTATTGTCCCTAGAATCCAAAAGAATTCATTGCCTGGGCATCCGATCATTGCACTGACACACTTGGCACAAAACACCACATTACAGTTATCATCAGCAAAGACCAAACAAAGCAATCTCATTCAGCTTTCCTTAACCCAGGGCTCCCCAGATGCCTTAAGACTTCAACTCCCAGAATCCCCAAAGGATGATAATGCAAGTGAAAGCCCAAGACATTACTCAGGCACAAGCTTGAGAACAGTTACATTAAAATCAACTTGACCTGGGTTTCAGGGAACCCAGCAACAATTCACTCACCTGGATTTCTGATTGCGTCAAGCTTTCTGCTTCCCTGGACCTCAGGAGAATAATCTGCTTGGAACCCCCGCTTGTGTCCGGCGTTTTGAAGTGGTGCCCACCATGGAGTGCAGTTAGTGGTAACTCCTTAGGAGCTGCAACTTGCTGGTGTGCATTTGGAGCCGTCTGGCTGCTCTTTCTCTGGATAACTGGGCTCATTTCCTTCCTTTTTGTTAGGCTCTTGGGTTCAGCCTTTTCTGGGGAGATGAACTTGCTATAAAGAAAGCTGTTGTCCAAGCGAGAATACGGCTTGTCTTCCACAACCTTTCTGTCTACAAAGTTGGACAAAAGAGACATCCCTGAGAGAACATTGGTTCTGATCAAGTTGGGCTGATGATTCACGATAGTTTTGGGGGCAATATCGCTGGCCTTGATATTTGCCAGACTTTCCTGAACTTTTCCAAGGAAAGGAGGCCCAGAGTCTTCCTCAGTCTTGTACTGCTGGCTTTCCCAAGAGGAAGATCTCCTGCCTACGCTGCTATCCCATGATTTCTCTTCTTTAGTGAGGTAAGGGTTTTCGATCTCCTCCGTGTCTTCTTCTGCCAATCCCAGCTCCTCCCCCTTGGATCCTTTCCCTGCCTCCGAGTTTTCCTCGGTGAGGGAAAACAGCTCGTCTAATGCTATTGGGAAAGAAACCTTTGACTTGGGAACGATGTGGTTCTCATCGATAGGCGGAAGGACGGTGTGCTTGCCAAGCGTGGAAGGGCGTGGAGTCCTTGAGAGGGCTTTTGAAGGCTTCCGAAGTTCAGCGGAGTCCATGTTACGGAGGGTGTCTACAAAATGCTCCATTTCCCCAGCTTCCTCGGGTTCCTGTTCTCCTGTCTGGCTGATGCTTCTTATTAAGTCATTTGGGGGTTCGGGCCATGAAAAGGAAGTGTGGGACCCAGCAGGGGAAGTCTCTTGTTCCAGCGCAAATATCAGAGGGCTCTTGCCCGAAATCTTTTCTTTCTTCAGTTCATCATCCTGCGTTCTGGCTTTATGATCCCCTGGAGAAGTTGGCTGAGATGTAGCAAAGATTCCAATTTCCTCTGCGGTGTCCGAGGGGCACTTATTTCTCCTCTTGGCAGATAAGCTGGCTTTTCCCACGCCTATCCAGCTGCTCTCTTGATCTGGCCCGTTTGTTATTAGGCCTCCTGCAGTGGGCATGCCTTGCTCCTGTTCAGACCTGCTTCTTGCAAACAGGTTGCTGGGCTTCTGGGAGGCAGAATTGCTGGGCAGGCTGCCGTCTCTCTGGGTTGCGCTGAACGGATCTGCTCCCTCCCTGGCTATAGCAGCGTCTCTGTTTGATGTGCGGTCAGGGCTCGGCGCAGGCACACACCTTGGCCCCTGGGCATCCCTCACATTGGCATTTTGAGAGTGAGTCATGCCATTCTCAGGCTGTGACTCTGGTGTGGAGACGATGCAAAATTTGGGGAAGGAGGAGTGGACTCTTTGCGGGGACTTGGCGTTGGGGAGATCGTCCCAGGATGGCCAGGTTTCTTCCAAGGCAGTGGTGGTGTTGGAGCTGGGAGCATAGGGTTTCTCTCGCTGACTCTGGCTGGTGTTTCCCGATCCAGACATAACAAGTTCTCGCCCGACTTGGTAAACGGTGGAGCATCCGGGCTGAGGCACAATGACTTGCTGTTGGGCTCTAAAAACAACCGTGCTGTTCCCCATTGTACCATTGTACCACTGAGCATGGGATCTGCCTACAGTGCTGGAACCCATGGCGTTCTGGACTGGCTTGAACACACAACGCGCATCAGGAAATGCAGGGCTCGGGGCAGAGGATATGTAATTTCTCCCCAGGGATCCGGAGAATGGAATAGAATGGAGGGTGTTGGGAGAACTTTCCCTTAAGGATTGAAGTGCCAAAGCATCAGGGAAGTTGTTTTCCTTCAGGGATCCAGCATCCATCTTGGGGAAATCCCCGTTTAGCATACGGCCTTCCTTCCTGGAGACGGTTCCATTCAAGCTGTCACGAGAAAGGCCCAGATTCTGCTCTTGCAGCCCATTAGTGTTTGCGTCCTGGCTCTCTTGCTGGAATCCGGCATCGCCAGGATTGTGAACAGCAGCCGGAGAGTGTGTGGCTCCAGGTGATTCGGTAACTCTGGTACTGACGCCATCTTGCATCTCTTTCTTCACTGGGCACTTTGGCTTGGGAAGTCGGGAATAAACTTGAGAAAAGACAGGCCCATGAGCAGTAAAATTCCTCTGTGGGCTGGGAGAGCAGGAGCGCCCTTCTGTTGCTGTGGGAGAGAAGCTTCTGGAGTCCACCAGGGAAGGGAAGACCCCAACATCTGCTGGGGATGAGTTGTCTACCGAGGAGGACAAGAGTAGGGCATCTGGTGGAGGAGGCAAGCAGTTGATCTCTCCCGGGGAAGGGCACCTGGCATCTGTGGAGGAGGAATACCATCCATTGTCCGGTGGAGGGGATGGATACCTCATATCCAAGGAGGGTGAGGAGCACTTTGGAACTGCTGGGGAAGGTGAGCTCCTGGCATTTGATGAGGGAGACTTGTTCCTGCTCTCTGCTAAGGTGGATGGCCGCCTGGTGTCCACCGTTGAAGCAGCTGTGGTGCTTCCTCCACAATACAAACGCCTCATATCTGCAACAGAATAGGAGGACTTGTTTCCTGCCAAGAAGGATGAGTGCTGGGTATCATCCGGGCATGAGATGGAGTGGTTCTCCGTTCTGGAAGGGGTATCTTTCCTCCCTACTGGAGAACGTGAACTGATGTTACCTTTTGGGGAGGGGGACACATGTGTTGGCTTGGCCTTGAGTGCGGGAGGGAGCTGCGGTTTTGCTGCTGGGGGCGGAGGCTGCCTCTTCTCTGCCGGAGACTGGGACCTCCGGTTTTCTGCTGTTGGCCCAGAAGGACACCAAGGATCAGGAGAACGCGACCGCTTGGCCTCCTCCGAGAAAGTGGATTTCCTTCTCCCCGTTGGAGAAAAAGACTGCTTGGCATTTGCTGGAGAAAGGCATCGCTTGGCATTCACAGAGGACACCTTACATGGCAAAGAATTCCTGGAAGTGGTGGGATGAGAAGCATTGGCACCCTCTGGGGGTGAAAATAAGCGCCTGGCAGGTAAGGGAGAACGGGAGGGTCTGGTTTCAGCGGAAGGAGCTGGGCTAGTGGCGTCCATCCCCACCAGTCCTTTCTCCCAGGCCTCAAGCAGCTTGGACACTTTAGAGGGGCTGCTGGCTCTGGTGCCTTCTTCCTCGACCCTCTGGGAGGCTGCCGACACTTTGCCGAAGGGCGTCTTCTTGACAGCTTCAGGGGGGTTTTTCTTCCATCGTAGTAAAGGGCTTGAGGGAGGACCTCCCGGCTTGCTTGGATGGGAACGTGCCTTGCCGGCAATTTTCTCCATGCTGGAATTAGGACAAGGCAGGTCTTTTTCAGTGTCAGCCCCACTTTGAGGCTGAAGTTGCTCCTGGCTGCCTTCCCAAGGGGCTCCTCTGGTTTTGCTGGAGTGGGGAGTGGGGAGGGGTGGGGTGGAATAGGGTGGGAGAAAAGAAAAGCAAAAAATTAGGCCTGGGTCCCCACCCAGCTTGCCCCCAACCAGTGGTGGGTTTCAAAATATTTTACTACAGGTTCTGTGGGTGTGGCTTGGTGGGCGTGGCTTAGTGGGCATGGCAGGGGAAGGTTACTGCAAAATCCCCATTTCCTCCCAATCAGCTGGGACTCAGGAGGCAGAGAGTAGATGGGCCAGTCAGAATTTTTACTACCGGTTCTCTGAACTACTCAAAATTTCCGCTACCAGTTCTCCAGAACTGGTCAGAACCTGCTGAAACCCACCTCTGCCCCAAACAGATTATTCCATGTCATTTTTCCATGGAGCCTGGCAGATTCTGTGTTCCCTCTGATTTCCTTGAACTTTACTTAAAACACAACAGCAGCAGCAGCAACAACAACAAAGCAGGCGTACTGCAAAATAAGGGGGCAGCTTTAAAGATGATCTTTATCAGAGATGCTTCTGGCTCTCTTCTAAAAAAAAGCAAATCTAATGCCTTGTGTGGAAGGGCCAGGAAAAGACCAAAATAGGATGAATTAACAGAGAGGAGGAGCCACAAAGAGGAGGGGGTCAAACTATTTTCCAAAGCACCTGAAGGCTGGACAAGGAATAATGGATGGAAACCAGGGGTGGGTTCTAAATTTTTTTACTACCGGTTCTGTGGGCGTGGCTTATTTTGTGGGCATGGTTTGGAGGTCATGTGACTGAGTGGGTGTGGCTAGCTGGTCATGTGACCGGGTGGCCATCGCTATGTGTATAGGGACTATTCAGAGGGCTGAAAAAAGTCATTTCTGACAGGTCCTCGCACTTTACACTGGTCCTCACACTTATGACCATCCTCACATTTACGCCTGTGCACCATTCTTAACAACCGTGTCACTCATTTCACAACTGCTTCTCTTCACCATGGTGACAAGATAGGGCAAAAAACGTAAAATGTGAGGACAGTCGTAAGTTTGAGGACTGGTCAAAAGTGCGAGGACCAGTCAAAAATAACTTTTTCAGCCCTCTGAGTAGTCCATATGCACAAAAGGACTACCCAGAGGGCTGAAAAAAGTGATTTCTGACAGGTCCTCATATTGTCACCGCTACCAGCTCGGCCAAACCGGGCTGAACCGGGAGGAACCCACCACTGACGGAAACTGATCAAGGAGAGATTCAACCTGGAAATAATGAGAAATTTTCTGACAGGGAGAACAATCAACCCATGGGACAGAAGTTGCCTTCAGAAGTTGTGGGAGCTTCATCCCGGGAGGCTTTCAAGAAGAGACTGGACAGCCATCTGTCAGAAATGGTGTAGAATCTGCTTGGGCTGGGGGTTGGACTAGATGACCTACCAGGTCCCTTCCAACTCTGTTAATCTCTAATCTAACAGAGAGCATTTGAGGTTGGCCTGAAGAGACAGAGAGCAACCTCGCTGATTTGCTTTCAATAAATGGGTCGTTTGTAATTGGACATTCTTTCCATGGCACCATATTGTGAGGGCCCCCTAACAACGAAGTCCAAATTTTCAATGTGCTCAACAAGCTAATTAGGTCCCTCTCCATTGGAGCATAAAGGCATCAAAGATTTGCCAAAAGAAATGTGTATCTCTGTTGTTTAAATCAGGGGTCCCCAATCTTTCGGACCTCAGGGACCACTAAAATTCACAATTTTAAATCCCGCGGACCACCTGCCAGCTTCTACTCGCCACTCCTTGCCTGCCTGCCCGGGCTCTTCCCAACAGGAAGCAGTTGTTGGAGCTAAGCAGCCACCATGAGAAAGAGTTGGCAAAACAGCTCAGTTCAAATTGGATCTGACCGAGAAGGAGGCTCAGCAGCTAAATAAAAGGAGGTGATTTTCCTTCTGAAGGAAAAAATGGACAGTCTGTAAGAGAGGGAAAGAAGTACAGGGAATCCTCGACTTACAACAGTTTAATTTAGGGACTCTTCGAAGTTACAACGGTAATGAAAAAAGGGACTTGTGACTAATTTTCACACTTATGACATCCCCATGGTCAGGTGAATAAAATTAGGATGCTTGGCAACTGATTCATATTTATGACAGTTGCAGTGTCCCAGAGTCACGTGATCTTCTTTATGCGATCTTCTGACAAGTAAAGTCAATGGGAAAACCAGATTCACTTAAGAACTGGGTTACTAACTTAAACCCTACAGTGATTCACTTTAACAATTGTGGCAAGAAAGGTCGCAAAATGGGGCAAAATTCACTTACCCTGTTTCCCTAAAATAAGACATCCCCTGATAATAAGCCCAATGGGGCTTTTGAGCTCATGTGCTAAAAATAAGCCTCCCCCCCAAAAAATAAGCCCTCACTGAAAATATTTAAACACAGAGCTGGAAATCAGGTAAGAAGGCAAGAGGAGCCCCATCTTGCGCCACGTGCCCCAAAATAATAAGACCTCCCCGAAAATAAGGCCAAGCGCTTACTTCAGGGTTCAAAAAAATATAAGAAAGGGTCTTATTTTCAGGGAAACACAGTAGCAAATTTCTCACTTAACAACATAAATTTTGGGTTCAATTGTGGCTGTAAGTTGAGGACTACCCAATAAAACAAAGCCTAGTGGTCAGAAAAAGGAGAAGAAATTTCAGCAAGAGGGCGCTTAAGGTAGACCAGGCTTAAGAAAGAAACTATGATGCATATAAGTAATAGTATAGAGCAGGATTCTCCAACCTTGGCAACTTTAAGACTTGTGGACTCCTGGGAGTTGAAGTCCACAAGTCTTAAAGTTGCCAAGGTTGGAGACCTCTGGTATAGAGCATAGGATTATAAGTAATTGTAGTAGAGTAATAGGTAAGAGTATAATATATTGAATAGTAATAGCATATACGGTAGTATAAACATTGTTATAGCAATAATGTAATTGTAAGCCATCCGAAACCACTTGGTTGAGATGAATAGCCATAGAAATTAAGTAAATAAATAAAATAAAGAGTAATTGCATAATGATAGCATAGTAATTGTAAGAGTATTTATTTATTTAAGAAAATGTATATGGCTGTTCAGTGACTCCGGGTGGCTTACAATGGTAAAGTTATCGTATCACATCATACTATTATCATAGTAATAGGACAGAAATAGCAACAGGACAAAATTAGACAGAGAATTGAATAAAAATAGAACAGAATTATAACAAAGAATAGAATAAAAGTAGAATTAGAACCGAGTAGAATAGAATAGAAAAGAGGGTCAGTTTGGACTATAGTGGTTAAGGCATCAGGTTAGAAACCAGGAGTCAGTGAGTTCTAGTCCCAGCTTGGTGACTTTAAGCCAATGGCCAGGAGACCCTAAATTCAAGTCCTGCCTTAACCATGAAAGCCAGTTGAGTGACTTTGGGCCAGTCACTCTCTCAGCCAACCCACCTCACAAAGTTGTTGTTGCGGGGAAAATAAGTGGAGGATGGTGTTTTGGATATGTTCACCGCCTTGAGTTATTTGTAAAAATAATAAAGGTGGGAAACAAATCAAATAAATAGATAGAATACAGAAAGCATTTTCTTATCACGTTTATATGTAAATAAAACATCTCCCCATATTTATATTTATATTTCCTTTGTAGGGAAATATAAAGAAAAGACCTGTGCAGAGCCCAAAGTTTTTATGTCTCTCTTGAGTCTTAGTCAATCCAATTGGATATAGTTTTTTTCACAGAAGAATCTGCGACAACAAAGTTAGGACCAATTTACGGGATAAAATAATTCAGCTTTTATATTGTTTTGCTTGACTTGTATGCCACGTAAAGTCACTCTGTGGGCGAAACGGGCAGTTTCTAAATCTGATATATAAATGAATAAATAAGTTGCGCCGCCCCACCTCACCCCCACCTCTCAGAATGATGCCCATCATTTCAGAGTCCTAAGACATCTAGAACAGGGGTCTCCAACCTTAGCAACTTTAAGACTTGTGGACTTCAACTCCCAGAATTCCCAGAACTCTGGGAATTGAAGTCCACAAGTCTTAAAGTTGCCAAGGTTGGAGACCCCTGTTCTAGAAGGTGCCAGACTGAAGGGCCATGAAATCTCTGCATAGTTTGCTTAACTGGTCCGAGGTGGAGACGTCCGTGTTTTAAGCACAAAGGAACATCTTAGCTTGATTATGGCAGTGCTCATTAATGCTTGCTAATGTTTGATTGTAAACAACCTTGTAGCCAAACACATTCTGTTTTGCCCACTTTGCTCATTATGGCATGGCATCTGAAATGTCACCACTGGAATTTCATTTTGCCTTTCGAAAAGAAAAAAAAACACACCTCCTTATGAGTCATTTTCCTATCCAAGCCGTGCTCAGCTGCAAAAATCATGACATACTGCTTACAAAGACATAATGGTAAAAACGAAAAGATCCCAAGCTGGAAAACAAGTTACAAAACAGAAACCAATAAGGGGACCTTGTTGCCTTCTGAGCTTTGTTTTTTTTCTTGCATTTCATTATCCAAATTAGGTAACATCATCAGTGCTACGATAGGAAACCTGAGCTAGAAATATTCTCCTCTATGGGAAAACCATAAAGAAATAGGCACGGAAGATAATTTGGGGTACAACACAACAAAAGAGAGAGAGAGAATGGTGCCTATTCTGTCAACCTATACAATATATTTATTTGTCCATTTGTTTTATAGTCCATTTTTCGTTCAGAACCTCAGATTAGAAGCAAATCTTAAAAACCGGACAAGTTTTCCAGATTCAGTTGCTTTAACAGAAGGAAACAACTTATATTTTTCACATACAGGGGAAGACTATAGAAAGCAAGAAGGGGGGGGGGAAGAATGCATCTGAACACACACAGATTGTGATTGAGAAGTAGATCAGTAATTTCAAAATCTTTCTCATCGGCTCAGACTGCAAAGAGATTTCTATCCAACTCACCTCACAGAGATAATGTTGTGGAGAAAAATAGGAGAAGGGGGCATGATGCATACCGCCTCGCGATATATGGAATAAAGACAGGGTATAAA